TACAGATATCTACGGCTACTATCTTCAAATAAAACTCTGGCACTGACCACGAGTCAAGGATAATTTAATTTGAACACTTTAGCGTCTAATAAATGCATAGCAATATAATACATATACATCTAAGAACATGTCATGTCCTTAGCGGGGACGTCCTGATCAGGAAATCAAATGTTAAATACATCTGCTGTTATTCACCGTCAGTAAAGTAATCAATGAATACGGTCAAAAGATGTGTCATAATGATTTTAAAATTTAAAATAGGTAACATGAACGACGAAATATTATATATAAACATCTTATAACATACACGGTCCTGAGCGGGGACATCCTGATCAGGAAATCAAATGGAAATAATTCCGTTAGGTTATTTTTATCAAATACATATATATACTCGTCAATTTAAAAGATCAATGGAGGTGTCATAATAATTTTCAAATGGTAAGTCCTCTAAACATTTAAATCAAAATAAAGGAATACTTCATATATTTTCATCATAAAATAATTGTTTCTCGTTATGTAAGTTGGCAATGAACACCGTCAAAAGATACGACATTATCATTTTAAATGGATATATGCATTACATCAATGATAGAATACATTCGTTTCCATCATAATACGTTATGGGTCCTGAGCGGGGACACCCTGCTCAGGAATCATTTCAAAACCCCTAAAATCCAGTTTTAAACGTAAAGTATGGCTATATGACCTAGGCAACTACGACGAATATCGTGACAGACTTGATTGGGACAGCACTCTCGACAATAAATTACATACACAAAAGTACAGAGCAATTTACAGGTTGTTTACTTACAATTGCAAATGAGTGCATACCTAATAAAAATATAATTGTAAGAGCGAATGATGCTGCTTGTATGAATAGTGCAATTAGAAAATTGATTCGTAAACGGAAGTATATACACCGCAAAGCCAAACAGTCACAGAATGCGGACGACTGGTCGAATTTCAGGAAAGCTCGTAACGTGTGTATAAATGCCATTCGTAAATCTAAACGTGATTATTTTAACAAATTATGTACAAAGCTTAACCATACTAATACTAATATCAGTAGCAAAGAATGGTGGAAGATTGTAAATTGTCTTATGTCTAACTAAAACAAATAATTAAAAAAAATCCTCCTATTTTCTATAACGGTAACTTTATACACGACGACATAGACAAAGCCAATGCCTTTAACACTTTCTTCAGCTCACATTCTTATATTAACGACACTAATGTTGACCCTCCTGATCTACACAAATCCCATAATCATACTCTTTCTGACATTTGCATATCCCGACAAGATGTTCTTGACGTAATACATTCTCTTGACTGCAAAAAAGCTGTTGGTCCTGACCTCGAAAAGGGCGAATGTTACTCCCGTGCACAAACAAGTTTATCCATCTGTTCTCGGAAATTACCGTCCTATCTCTCTTTTGTCTATCATAGGTAAAATGATGGAAAGGTGTTTATATAAATATGTTTATAACTATTGAAATGACGAGTCCCTACTTTCATCTTGTCAGTCGGGTTTCAGATCCGGTGATTCCACTATGAATCAACTTGTATCTATTTCTAATGATATATTCCGCTTTAGATAATGATAAAGAAATTAGAATAGACTTCTGCGATATTAGTAAGACTTTCGAGCGAGTATTGCATCGTGGTCTTCTTTCTAAACACCAAAACTGTGGCATCACAGGTAAATTATTTGATTGGTTCTCGAGCTATTTACGTAATCGCTGCCAACATGTTGTCATCAATGGTAAACAATCAATCTTAAATTACATTTCTGCTGGAGTTCCTCAAGGGTCAATTCTAGGTCCATTATTGTTTCTAATTTGTAAATGACATCGTCGAAGATATTATTGTATATTATTGTATCATAAAGTTGTTTGCTGACGATACGTCTCTATACGTTATAGTGGATTTGCCGGATCTGAGCGCTAATCTCTTGAATGATAATCTAAACAAAATTCATGAATGGTCAAAACCATGGCTTGTCTATTTCAATCCTAGTAAGACAGTGTCAATGACAGTAAGTAGAAAAAATGACAAACCACTTCATCCCCCTTTGTATATGAACAACAACCCACTAACAGTGGTAACATGCCACAAACACCTTGGTGTCTTTATTTCGTCTATTGGATGGTGGATTGATCATGTTCAGTATATAATTAACAAAACTTCAACAAAACAGGCCTTTTAAGAAACCTGAAATTTTCCATTGACAGAAAAACGCTTCAAACTATTTATTTTACTTTTATTCGACCTTTGTTAGAATATGGGGACGTAATATGGGACAACATAACGTTAGGCCAAAGCCAACTGTTAGAAAATATTCCACTCGAAGCAGCCAGGATTGTAACTTGGGCCACTAAATTAACTAGTCATGAATGATTGTATTTAGAAACTGGTTGGGACCCTCTTATTGAAAGAAGACGAAAACATGAAATAACACAACTTCATAAAATCGTTCATGGTCAGTGTCCCTCCTATTTAACTTACATACTCCCCGCTCGTCATTCTGACATTCATTCTCACGATACTAGAAACGCGAATAATTTCTGTCAAATAAGATGTCGTACTAAACTCTATAAAGATTCTTTTTTACTTTCCTCTGTTGACTTATGGAATGCTCTTCCGGACAACGTTAAGCATAACCCATCACTTACTAACCTTAAGAAGTCTGTGTTTGTCAACTATCATCACAGTAATCTTGTTCCATCCTATTACTATTACTGAAATAGTAGATATGGCCAAATTCACCACGCTCGACTGAGGATGAACTGTAGTTCCCTTGATAATCACTTGATTTTACGTAAATTAGTTGAAAGTCCCATATGTGTTCTTGTAACCGTTCTGCTGAAACTAATGAACACTTTCTCCTCTTTTATCTTAACTTCGAACAATTAAGATTACAATGTTTTAGAAATCGTCCTCCTGGGAATAACTTAAATCTGCTGCTGTATAGAAATCCTGATATGCAAGGTCAATATAACTAGCTAAATATATTGCTAAAAGTAGACAAGGGACTAGGCACAAGTTAAAACAACTTATCAACGCCTTCTCCCAATATGCATTTTGAATGACATTACAATAATGACAATAAATATATACAATTGTTATTATAATTTGAACTCAAAATCCCTCCTGGATTTAATAAAGTTTTTCACATATCTAAACAAGTTTGAGAAAATGTCCACGGAAAATTGTTAATAGCCAAACTAAAGTATTTCTAAATTTAACGCAACATTCAAATTATTTAAATTTTGAACCAGAATACGTCTTTCGATTGTGAAAAGGTGACATTCCATAAAATAGTGAAAGACATTCTCACAGGGATGACCACAATTACAAGTTGCACTCCCAACAAGGTTAACTCTAAAAAGGTCATACATTTAATTAAGAGAACTACACTGGTGTCGGAGCTTAGTATGCAAAATATTAAGTTTACGATTTCCAATTTTAAAGTAAAAAGGTGGACTTTACTGAATATTTGATGTTAAACAGGATTTGAAGGAATTTATAGAGGGCAGGGATCGAACCGAATTTTCTAAGTTATTCCAACAATGAAGAGTAAAAGGCAGAAAAGAAGAAATATTAAGAGGCAGTCTGAAAAGAGAAATCCTATAGTTATTATTGTTACGTAAAGCGTAACGATTATTTCCTCCAGATCATGAGTTAATTTATCATGCATCTTATACAAAAGTTGAAGTTTACTCCATTTGCTGCGATTAGATAAAGTTTCAAGACCAGTTTCGTAATATAAAGTATTAATAGGGGTATATGCGGGAAGTCCTAATATAATGCAAGCAGCTTCACGTTGGGCTTTTTACAACTTTTCCGATTCAAACATAGTGCAACCGTCCCACAACTCACAAGCATATTCTAAAAAAGGTAAAATAAAAGTCTTGTATATTATTAAAAGAGCATCCCTACTTAATAAGTGTTTTAGTTTCCGTAAGATATTATTTTTTTTTCATAACGGAAGTGTATCTCCCATTTTGATGATCCCCCCATTTTGCATTCGAATTAAAAGCTACCCCTTACTGTTTATGATAATCTGTAAAGTTTAAGACTTTTCCATCAATTTCTAAATCTGCGTCTTCCTCGATATCAATTGAATTCGAAATAAACAATACATCTGTTTTTTCGGGATTAAAATTAACCTTTTTTTATCCAATATTTAAGTTGAAAAAAATCGTCTTTAAATCGTGGGATTGCGTACCAAGTTAATTGAAAGAAAAATATAAATAAAATCACGGAAAAAATTTACAAACATCGTACTATGAAAGGAAAAAAACCCAATAAAAAACGGTGTCTCTGTGCTCCAAAATGGCGGAAAGGATCATCCCAACTCAACCAGTTAGTGAACAGGGGTCTAAGATGGAAGTGTGGTCTCATATAACAATAACTGGATAAGTAATGCTGGTTTTAATTGTTATAATATAAAGCATTATTAGGGTAACCTTATCCCTTTTTTATATAGTTTGGTTGGTCACCAACTGATAAACCATTGCCAACCGTGACAATAACTGGATGAGTAATGCTTGTATAATAGTTATAATGCCCTTATAAAAAAAATCGTATTGTAACCATTATTCTAGCATTTCGTATCCAGGTATGTCACAGCTGGCAATGATTGATCAGTTTTGGACCAAAAATATGTACGAAAGATATGGAACTGATAAATGCCATATATAGTATTGGCCGGTCACGTTCATATGACAACTTTAGTTATGACTTGTTACAAATTTTAACTCATTCACCCCTGAAGACACATTTGAACTCCTCCGATTCAAAGGTTGGAATAGTTCATAACGAATTATATAGCAATACGTTTTCAATCCTAATGGTAACACAATTGTTATGCCTTGTCTACCTATCAGCTTATCTGGAAGACTACCCACGTTTAACCCTTGACCTTTCCTGAACTTACCACACGTCCTTTATCTTTTCTGTAGATTTCAAGTGGTACATACATTGTATGTCATCATTGTTATTGTTGTAAAATTATTCGGCATGGTAAAAGTAAGGAAACACGCATTGCTGATGCTGGTAGTCCTGTTGGGTGGATGTGTGGGCGGGGCACGCTACACCCCGGACTGGGACTCACTAGACACGCGACCCCTCCCCCTCTGGTATGATGGTACCAAGGTGGGAGTGTTTATCCACTGGGGCGTGTTCTCCGTGCCAGCGTTCCGGTCTGAATGGTTCTGGTGGGACTGGCAGGGCGCTAAGTATAACGACTGTATCGAATTTATGAAGGCAAACTACCCACCCGGCTTCACCTACCCAGACTTCGGGCCCAAGTTCACTGCATCTCGGTTCGACGCTGACAAATGGGCGGATATACTGGCAAACTCTGGAGCAGGGTTAGTGTTAATACCGCATTCTACCATTGGGAGCTGTATTTTGTGTTAATGATTTCTGCACGTTTTTTGTGTCGATGGATTTCAACGAAAATGAATCCAGTAAAGACATAAATACCGTTTAGCATCAGCGGCAGGCCTAGGTCGTTATAATAGGTGAAATATGATTTTGAGGTACAGTACGTGTCAGTTGTCCATTCCTTGGGGGTTGGTTATATATAATTTCTCTACTACCTGGAGGTTGTGACAAGAAATATCAACCCGACACGGGTAGTCTACAGAGTCAATGGCCGTCGAGGACTTGACCTTAACATATCTAATTCCGAGGGTACAGACTACTTGTTATACCCTAAAGGTAGCTTTTCTATTTCTCAGTTTAAAACGAAAAAGCTGACGGATTGTAAACAGAGCCTCATAGCTTTGCTTGATTATATCAAAACGCAACAACTTGGTAGTTTTCCAAGAACGTTAATTCATTGTCGTGTATGTATTTAAATGATTAAAATGATTTCAACTCATCTTGCTACTTCATTTCATCAAATTTTATTGACAAGATGTCATAATCAATTGGATTGAATAACAGGCAAAGCCAAATAAACTCTCTCCGTCAAATGGCCAAAGTTGAATAAACAAGGAGACATAATATTTTAGACATGTTGCAAATGAAAAAAATAACACAAACTAATTCATAATAACACAAGGCTAAGGGGAAGTAACTCATGAAGGATACATCTCACACACCTCATACACACTTACACACACATACAAGTACATGTACAAATACATTTATTTCAGCATATAAATACACTATCATAGACAGATATTGGCAGGCTTAGACCAAAAGTCCATGTGCATATATTGCACAGGTCACTGCTACCAACAAATGTTACAATTCAAAATAATAAATTCATTTAATACATAGAAAGTGTAATTATTTACAATGTCATGATAAGTACACGCAATAGACAGTAGTCATGCTCAACTAGAATCTCCTGGATGAAATATAGAATATATAGTATATTTTTGTATAACATCATGGCTTTAAGTCATATAAAAATTAAAACGACGGGATTTTCCAATAAAAATATGCACATCATCAAGTATTCTTCTATTTGTAAGCCCATCACAATCAGGACAGCCCTGGAGAAGAATGTTTTTATCAATGTGGTTGTGGTTTCCATAACTATTAAGAGAAGTGAACAAAGTTATTCTTTGATTATCAAAAATAGGATATTCCAAAAAGTAATGAGATACTGTTTCATGTTCAGCAGAGCAGGTACAAGCAGGACTATTAGTAAGATGGTCATGGTGTAAATCATAATTTAAATTACTGCAAGAGTTTCGAAGTCGACATAGAATAATACTTGCTCTTCGGTTACCTTCTGTTTTGAAAATTGAAACAGATTCACTATCATCTTGCTACTTCCTGTTAATCGCACGCTAGTTTCTAAGCCCTAAGAGAGACGGAAATATCGTTGACAGCTAATTCGGGAGACATCCTGGCGAAGGATAGGAGCATACTTATAGTTGTAAAACAGAGGATCTTGATCAGAGGCATACAGCTTTCCTTACAAGGTCACATGGTGTTAACCAGTATTAGATGTAAGGCAATACTGATGTCTTGATTCTTTATAGGTACGTGGTACTGACGAGCAAACACCACGAGGGCTACACCATGTGGCCTTCCCAGCATTCCTGGAACTGGAACTCCATGGACGTCGGACCGCACCGGGACCTTGTCGGTAGGTTTAATGTGACGCTAGTTTCAATAATTCCATTACCGTAACATTGAACGAGAGGTTAGAAACAAGTTCTCCCAGTATAAACATAATGATGCATGAATACTCAGTATCATTACATGCTAATAGAATGTCACTCGTTTTTAAATACTTGAGATGAGACTCACAGACAAATCTTTATTTTAGTAAATTGATTTATGTACATTGTACATGTACGATTCATGTAGAGATAGCGGTGAGCCATCATGTGGCTTGGAATTTTAATTCGAGTTCACATTAACAGTAATGATCATAGGTACGGTATTAGTACGTTATTTGTACACTCATTATCATTAAATGTATCCACTCCTTTGACAAACAAAATTGACGAAGAGAAAATGAATTCCAAGTATTTATTCATTACCAGATACCCAGTAAGAAGCCTTGTTAAATATAGCATCTAATATCGATGTACATTCTTATTTTCTAGGTGAATTTGCAAGAGCCATTCGGAACAAAACGTATATGAATTTTGGATTGTACCATTCCCTGTACGAATGGTTCCACCCATTGTACCTTGCCGACAAGGCAAACAATTTCCAAACCCAAGATTTTGTCAGGGTACGTGTTCTTATGATGTAGCTAAAACCAAGGACGGCAAAGTAAAATCAGAATACCCGGAAGTAATGGTTAACCATATAATGACTCGAGACTTGAAATTACACTGGAAAGCACAGACGTAGGCGACTCAACCCTGAGATTGGAAAATGTAGAGAAATTCACATGACTGCAACAACTAGGATAAGTATTTGTATCAACAGTTGCCAAAGGTATCTTTCCGTTTCCTCTATTTAAATATATGTTATTTTGTTTTCCATACAAACACATATATATCATTATCAATTACATTAAGACCGTGTTTAGAGATCCAACACAATTTCTCTCCGACGCCGATAGTAAAATATACCTCTGTGACAAGTGTTTATTATATATATATATATATATATATATATATATATATATAACGTGTTATGTTTCTACTAGGAGAAGACTCTCCCCGAGCTGTACGAAATTGTGAACAGGTACAAACCCGATATCATCTGGTCAGACGGGGACTGGGAGGCTTCCGACTCCTACTGGAACTCCACTCAATTCCTAGCCTGGCTCTATAACGACAGGTACAGCTTGGTCAATTTCAGAGTAGCGTGAACCATTCATGTATGGGGAGTTAGGGCTAGTTCAACAAGAGCACCGCAAACGAATGCATAATACGCCCGTCTGACCCTATCCAATGAGTTTTTGTTTGTTTTATATTTAAAGTACCTGGTAGCCAGTGTCATGTCTATGTGATAAAAATGCTTGCACTGATGCTTTTGTTGCTAAAGTCCAAAATTTACAAAAATAGGAAATATTTTCCCAAATAAAATCATTATTGTCCTTGTTAGACCCCACATGAACATCCATGCCAAAAATTAGGACAATAACACAGGATCTGACTGAACTGTACACCACTGAAGTCCCAAACACTGTACAATACTGAAAGAAGCTTGTGAATCGTGCCTGTCTGAAATGTGGGACATTTGGAGACTTTGGGGGTCAAAATTGATATGATTTCTCTCTCGATTATTTGTTATCAACACTTTGTCCTGACTGTGGCAACATGGTTTCTGTCCATAGCGCCTGTATTGAGGACACATATCGAGATCAAAGCTGAGTTAATCAACACTGTTTGTGTTTAGTTCGGGGGCAGGCCTTTCCTGCAAAACGTTGGCATACCCATGATGGTAATAGGCCATACCCTTCCCTTGACAAAGCAGTTTTTGTTTTTCTTATAAAGCTGACTTTACGGAAGATCTGAACGACTGGTAGCAGAGATCTTGATAAGTCCGTCCAATGCCGACCTTTCTATATCAAACCCTTACCTCAGTCGTTACTTACTAAATGAACACAATGAGAGGCTTATTACAAAGATCTCGGATTAGCGTTACGGTTTCTTTTTCTCCTAAAATTTCTCCTGTCTTGATAGTAATATCCCTGCTTCTCTAACCTTTTAACATATCGCATGTGATTCGATATTCACAGGTTTGCTCGGAAGAATACAATTCCCTGTGACAGGGGTGACTGCTGTCGTCCAAACATACACCAAATGGTTTTGAGAGGTGCAAATTATTGAAGAAAATAGGCCCGTTTTTAGATCGCAATCACATATTTAAATTCTGGTGTGACTTGGATACGTTTTTAATTTTACTCAAAAGTCACCTTGTGGCTTCGTTATCACTAATGGTTTCTCCCTTTCAGAACCTAACATAAAGCAGATAGAAGCAGAAGTCCCTTGCTCATATTGAACCCTTGTCTTTTTCTCCTTGCACCCCTTCAAGGGTTTTAGAATTTGAGTTGAAGGTACGGTTATATTGACATTTTTACAATTTTCATATTTTTAAAGCGATAGAAATTATGTATAGTGTTTTCGCGACAAAAGTCAATTAACGTCGGCGCTGATCTCAATTACGTTATATAGGTGTGTTTTTTTCTGCAGTAAATTTTATACAAGGTAGCATGGTTCATGTCGTATTTCATATTCTCAAAGACGAAGTCGACTTTATCACTCTGTAAAATATGTTATATCGTGCGTTCTTTTATTTTCAGCTCGTACGTTTATAATTAAGATAAACATAATCAGGGGAGTGTCATTTTAACCGAAAGTCGACCTAAATCCCAAAACATGTAAATTTACTCTGAACACTTTAGTACCGGTTCAAATATAGCTTTGACACATACTCAGGTCCATGTGGCTCTTATATATGTGTGTGGTAGAGGCGATTTTTGCCGTTATGAATTTTAGAGTTATACAGACCTCTGTATATCGTGACAATGTGTCATTTAGCTAGCGGAGATAGTTTATCACCTTGCAATTCCATTCAATAATACCGTGCGTTATTTGTATCCTTTTAATTCCGGTATTTAGTTACAAATCACTTGTGATCTGTTTGTTGTCTATTTTGCTGCCATAATGACGGAAGTGGTTTAATTTTGTTAGCCGCTTTGTGATTGGCTGTTCGTCTTGGGTTCAGCCAATCGTTCTTCTCGTAGGATTTTGTTTAGTGGCGTCTTGTGGTTAGATACTATTTTCTCGTGTATTAAGTCGGGTAGTTTGAGGTGTTCGCTCTGTCTGCTGGATAACCGAAATACGCGGTAGTGAAGCGGACGTAAAACCTATCAATCAATCAATCAGGTGTTCGCTCTCAGTCCGGCGGATGGGACTAAAAAATGGTGGCCCGTGTGAGAACTGTCCAATATCGCACGGAAAAGATCCTTTTTTTTTCGAAAAAGAGTAGGCGTGATCACGCCGACACAGAGGATAGGATTTATTTTCGGCCGTTAAAACAAGGTCCTCTTTATTAGAAATTTAGAAGGACTTGTCTCAATTGCCTTTCAGGCTTCAGGTGTCGTCCGGTCTTTTCTTTTCTTCTTTCTATATCCTATGCATTTCTCGCTGCACTGTCTATACAGTGATGTAATCATGTCACATCTGTTGTTAAGGAGCTCATTCTGTTCTCCTTCCATCGGCTGGTCGTGGTTTTCTAGAGCTAGAAACCTATTCCTAAACTGAAGGGTAAATTCCGTTCCTACACCTGCATCCTTTAGTCTATCCACGTCTGCGACCTTTGGGCTGTGGACCAGTGCTTCTAAGCTTGCTTACACCATGTGATGGTTGCTACCAACATCAGCTCTTCTCCTCACCTTGACGTCCATAAGTGCACGTCGCCACGTCCCGCTAATCATCAAATGGTCTATTTGATTCTTGCCTGGTTCACTTGGGGAGCACCATGTCAGCTTGTGGATCAGTCGATGCTGAAACAAGGTCCCTCCAGAGACCAGGTCATTCATGTCGTTAAGTCCACCGTTTTCTCTCCGTTGTTGTTCATGCTACCACATCCATGTTTCCCCCTTGCCCTGTCATCCTCTGTACCCTCATTCCCCACCTTCGCTATTAGATCACCCATGACGACTATGAGATTGTGCTTAGCTGTCTTTTCCATTCCTGCCTGAAGACTATGGTAGAAGCTGTCGTTGGTCTCGTCTTCGATGTCGTTCGTCGGGGCATAGCTCTGGATTACAGTGATGTTGATGTGCCTCCCTTTCAGTGGATAAATTTCATTGATGTGCCTCTTGTCAGACGACTGCTGACAGGCTCCCATTCTGGCAATCATCGCTCTACTCCCCTTTTCAAGATTTATGCCACTCCTTCTGTATGTTGGCCGTCATCTCCATCCAAGTATAAAAGTGTCTCACCCGTTACTGTCGTCTGTCGACCTGATCCTGTCCATCTGCATTCGCTCACACCCATGATATGTAGGTTGTAGCGCCCATCTCTCATGTTACCTGTGCAAGCTTACCTTAATCGTACATAGTACCATGTGGCATGTGACTTGCTGACAGAACCTACTTGAGACGGTAAGCTTTCCCGGCATTTACAAGAGGCACCGTAGTGACATTAATATCTCTCGCCGGGAGCTTTATCAGCATTTGACCCAATAACTATATAAACTAGTCAGTATTTGGTAAAGGTAACCTCAACCCATTTGTGTGTGAACTTTATAGTATTATTATGACTAAGGCTAATGACCAAAGCTAGAATCATCTCATTGTAAATATCATCATCTTTTTGTTAAATATTAAATTGTTAAACTTTATGTACAGCTCGTTGTGGTTTTTTTTTCATTCTATACCATTGGCACACCGAACCTAGGCGTAGTAGGTGCTGATACAACTAGGTGGCGCCACTTCGAAAACCCTCTTGTAAATGCCCCTTGCCCTACTTAATGTGTATACGTCATATTCTTACCCAGAATTCCCGTTTCTCGTATCGTCAGATATTTTTGATAATATTAATTGATAAAACCCCAGATCTAGAATAATGTGTTCTCACCCTCTATTAAAACTTTTATCATTTTTATTATGCAATGAAGGATGCACAACTTCACCTGTACCAGCTTACAAACGCACAAGGTGCAATCAACTGTTGTTTATTTGGAAATACGATCACAAAATCCTCGATGCCATTTTCTCGCTTCCCATGAAATGGGCTATCTGGCCTACGCTATATGCGTCAGAAAGCCAAAATTCACAGCGAATTTGTAAATCATTATTTATCATGCAGTGTGACAAGTAACGAGTACTCATTAAACTGGGGAAGAAAATTCTTTTTATCTTTCGCATATTACATGATGCTCCTGATTGTTGTTTCAGTCCAGTGAAGACCACAGTGGTGACTAATGACCGATGGGGAAGTGGGGACATCTGTAAACACGGGGGCTATTTCACCTGTTCTGACCGGTACAATCCAGGTACGTGTACGGACCGGTGCAATCCAGATACGTGCACTGACCGATACAATCCAGGTACGTGTACTGACCGGTACAATCCAGGTACGTATACTGACCGGTACAATCCATGTACGTGTACTGACCGGTACAATCCAGGTACGTGTACTGACCGGTACAATCAAGTACGTGTACTGACTGGTACAATCCAGATACGTGTACTGACCGATACAATCCAGGTACGTGTACTGACCGGTACAATCCAAGTACGTGTACTGACCGGTACAATCCAGGTACGTGTACTGACCCGTACAATCCAGGTACGTGTACTGACCGGTACAATCCAGATACGTGTACTGACCGGTACAATCCAGGTACGTGTTTTGACCAGTACAATCCAGGTACGTGTGCTGACCGGTACAATCCAGGTTCGTGTGCTTGCCGGTACAATCCAGGTACGTTTACTGACCGTTACAATCTATGTACGTGTACTGACCGGTACAATCCAGGTACGTGTACTGACCGGTACAATCCAAGTACATTTCGTAACAGGTACGATCAAGGTACATATACTGACATGTTATGTAAAAGCATTCTACACTCTAGTTCGAAATACAGGCAAGGTATATACTGTATAAGTATTATTTAATAAAAAAAATATCCATTTGTAGCAGGTAAGTATAGAAAAATAAGATCTAACGACCGACTAAAAAACAAGTTGCTTGAAAGCAGCTTGTTTTTTAGTCTGTAGTTAGATATAATTTTCTATACATAAGAAAATAATTACAGCATGGTCTAATATGAGCACTGGATCCGAACAAATATTCGCTGAATGCGTATATGATATATATATGGAAGTGTCTATATATAAAACGTTACTACTTAAGTGCTTTTCTAGCATAGCTTTGTATTGTAGGACTACGATTAATATTACAGTGCTGTGTACGTATCGGATACAAATTCTATTAATGTCTCACTATGTGGGTTTTAATTTTGTTGACACGTTAAGTCTTTGGCCTTTGCATGACCTATCACTGATTGAGAAAATCAACCTATCGTTGTGTAGGCCAAAACGCAATGCGTTAATGGGTGACCGACGGCAACAATTGTTTTCAGATTATACGAAGTTCAACCATTGTCACATCTACGTTAACTTGCTATGCATGCCTACATTGAGATTGTATGATAAAATCAATTGAGAAATAATTCCAACTGTGTACGGGGTATTGAACCCCCTACATCATCCTGGGGCACTCACCCAGTGTATTAAGTATGTTCCAGGCTATGTTGCAAATGTTACAAGTACCGAGCAGGAAAAACTTTGATAATTGCGTTGTGTATATATTTATACGGATTAATGTGAAACGTTTCTTGGGGGAAAATGTAAAGATAATTGCAGGGGACGGAAACGCAATAAAAAAATGTAACATGTCAATTATGTTAAACAAATAGCATTAATATCTTATATATATAAATGCAAAATATGTCTTAAGTTTTAAGCGATAGATTTTAATTTATTGATAGTTGGTATATTTTTATAAGATTTCTTGCTTAATAAATATATGGCAAGCCAACTTAAAACTTAAGTCAAGTTATAAAAGATACATTATTAAATATATAAAATATGATATGAAATATATATGATATAAAAGTTCATATATAGCATATCTTACATTAGACTAGCTACACGTACCAGCCCCTAAGTTTTTATGACGAATTTCTCAACTGCGTTTTACTACAAGCTTATCCTCCCCTAGTTTAGAACTTAGTTGAGACATCCAAGTGATCAAAATGATTTGTTATCTTTTACTTAATAACTCAATATTCTAGAGACGGTGGACAGTTTAATAGTACATGAACACACCCAAATTTGACATATATGAAATATGGCTAGATTTGTTAAGCTAAAACGATTTACTCAGGTTTGTTTCTGGTTTTAAGTTTGCATGTTAAATATAATGTAAGACATCTTGATGACAAATGCCATGATATCGAAGTCAAAATCAAGGAATGCCAAGTTCTGATAAGGAGAACCGAGGCAGTGACGATGTCGATAGATGTATCGGGCAACGAATAATTTTCAGTGAGACAAAATGGCACCATAAAAATTTGTCCATACCCTTGATCAACCTTCATCGTAAACATTCGAAATCTACCACTGAAATCGTCATATATGGAGGAAGCCAGTAAAGTATCGAATAAATGGTAAAATGTAGGAGGTGGGTAAAGTGGTTGAAAAATTGAAATTGCCACACGTATCCTTTATCATAGTACCGTTTACCGTAATGAGGGCAAATTTATCATTACAGCGCACATTAATAAACAACATAATATACACAGTGATTAAATGTAAAGGGCGAAATTTAAACTGGGTGAATACGGATTTTACCGGCTGATGGCGAAAGTAACTGGGCGAAAATTTCCCGTTATACAGCTCATCTATCCCTGATTGCCATGCTAAGGAGTATGATAACTATATCCTTAATTTAAGGATTTCAGGAGAGTATTTATACAATCGACGTGGCTAGTAGTTTTCTTTGTTAATCTAAAGGCAAACTGAAACTCACATTGTCCATATATCCGATCGTGAAATTGCAGGAAGTGACAAAAAAGATTTTGTGGCATGACCTGAAAAGTCCTCGGATGAATTTAGACTTATTTGTTATCAAAATAAGTCTTAATTGATATGGCAATAATCTGCTACTCATTCCTATATATTCATCCTCATAATGTTAAATTTTGGCGATTGTGTTTTTCACAAAATGTACGATTAAACAGTCAACCAACATATGCTTGTTAGGTTTTCGCTTTTAGCGTTCTTTTAGTTTGATATTAAGTATTGTAGTGAAGAGAAGAAAAGTCGCCCATCAAATTTTCCCATTGGTAAAAACTTTTTTTTAGGAAAAGATGTTCAATGTTGATTAAAAAGATCTGTCAAGAACCTTAATATTTTCACTCCATTAATTCCACTTCTTGAGGACACAGCGTCGACCGTAATCCTGATTAAATACTGCTTAGAATGGTAGTAAACAAAATGGTAAAGATGACTTGTCAGCGCAACTAGCAGAAACACCAATGATATCGAGGCTGGCCAGTGCCCTTGTTATATATAACTGGTATTCCGTCTTCTGAATATATCATATTTCCATGATTTTCACGCAAGCGTACTTTTTGTTATATATCAAATGATAAGGATCAAGTTACAGAGGCAAATTTCGAGCTGCAAATTATTTTCAAAATGGCGGTTTTATTAGATTTAACCCACCCTCAAAATGAATTCACTTCAGTTGCCTTTCGTTTTGCCCTGTGTCTGCCGTAGTATTCCATTTCCCAATTTCCGTACATTATTACATGCAACATTCTCCTTTTGCTTCCGTATTTTCCACAGGCGTCCTTCAAAACCATAAATGGGAAAACACTATATCATTGGACCGGAAGTCGCGGGGATACAGACGAGACATTGAGTTATCAGACGTTGTTTCAATAAAAGAACTCATAGCCAAAATTGCAGAGACAGTGAGGTGAGGTTTAAATCCCAACCAAAGATTCGAGAAACTTGTTACTCCTTCTGTTTTATTTGTTATGCTTAATGATATAAATATAATAAGACATTGTATTTTGTAACAGTGCAAGATACAGATTACTGTTTAGAACTCTATGTATATTGAAAATTATAACAGCGTTTCTGTCCGATCTTGGGTCTCCCAAAACCTGGTAGATTAGCAAATATCAAGCACAGGGCGTTGTAGATCAGAAAACAATTCTTTACTGCCTACGTGTAAATTTGGTTTTGGTTTGATAGGTCCGATAGGGCAATGCAAGGTATTTTCAATGCATTGATGCTACACACAGTGACTTACACAAGTATTATACAGTTGCGGTGGTAACCTGCTTGTGAACATTGGTCCCACGCTAGACGGTAACATTCCACCCATATTTGAAGAGCGCCTGCGACAGATGGGGGCGTGGTTGAAGGTCAATGCGGAAGGAATATACGGAACACAGTCATGGCGCTATCAGAATGATTCAGTGACCCCGGGAGTTTGGTATGTAGTTCATAAATCTCTTGTCAAAATCTCTCATTTGCGTAATATCTTTAATCAAATAAATCTGCTTTTGAAAAAGACGCTTTCTCAAAATTTTCCATAAATTAATATATATTTTTAATCTACTGTGATATTTCTGTGCAATTTAAACAAACATCATCGAATCATTGCGTTACCGGTTTGCAACATATTCGTCCATGTCTCTTTTCTTTCTTTCTTGTCAGTAACTCCATCAAATATCTTTGTTAGGGTGTAAAACCTTCCCTGAAATTTATCTTTTAAAGTAAAAAAAACTTTTCTAGTCTTTCTGTTATGTTTCCTATTCTTGAAGGTCGTGTACAATCTTACCAATATAGGTCGAGAACAATCTGATTATTGTGTAGAATTGAAGTTCATGAAAAGGCTTACCGTTTATAAGTTTCCCCTGAAAGAATTCGTATACCATATTTTGCCATCAAGTAAATATCCGTTCAATGCATCAGTCTATTTACCTCGAAACTCATTAAACGGTGTAAAAGGTTATCGGAAAACTTAAAACTGTTTTGTTACTTTAAATACAATAAAGAAATACCTTTCATAACAAGATATATTGGTTGTTGTCCCAGTGCTGCGTTGAAGAAATGACTTCTTTTCAATAAGTTAAAACTAGATGTACATGTGTACTACCCATCGTATGAAATTGATACTTAATACAAAAACAAACATTTCCTTTGATTTTATCGACAAAAAATCATCGATCGAACGATCATTACATATATTTGTTTACGTAATCGGATATAAATGTCCTCGTTCAATATAGTTCAACTTTTAGGTTTATTTCAGCTCTCTAGACATGAACTGTTTTCACCTACAGGTACACATCACTCACAATCAAAACAACTACCGCCGTCTACGCCATTATCCCCGTCTCTGATATTAAAAACACTTCTCGACTGCACCTCGGCTCCCCAGTGGTACGAGACACCACCCAAGCATTTGCGTACTTATTGGGCTATGATCAACAGGTACCATACAGTGCCCCTTCACCGGATGGAGGAGTCTACATTGACGTGACTTCCATCCCCAACAGCTACCTCACTGACCCCCCATTTAACTGGGCCTGGGTCATCCGTATGCTAGGACTTGATAATGTATGATGAACCAAGACTGGTACACATGTATACGATGTGAAACACCAACTCTTCCAATCTCTTTAGAAAATAAATGATTATAAATGTGTTATATTGACATCTTTAATTACCTTTTGTGGACATAGTACAGACATCAAGCGAATTATAAGAACGTTCCAGTAGTTGAATGCAGATTTGTAGAAAAACAATTGCAGATATTAGGATAAACAGCCGAAAGTGAAAGAATAAGAGAGGGCCCGTAATTATATTATAGTGAATTTGCTTACTTTCGGAATGACTTTTCTCCAACACTTTCATTTATCCCCATCGAGAATTGGACTTTCAATTGGTCAAAGGTCAATAGACATTGTATCTGCAAGGTGTTATATGTTATATATATATATAAATATCTTAACGTCTTTCAATTCTTCTCTTGGTTTATCCTTGGTGCGTATAAATTGGCGTATACGCAGTAAATAAATGGCTCGGCGCATTGATACTTGTTTCAAATATTGCGCCGCGCACGCTTCAGCGAAATAACAGTCCAATTAAAACGATTGCTTGGTTCCTTCTTCAACTAGATACATGGAAAATATTCGGTATCCGTTATGTCTTATTATACAACAAAGGAATGCTCCTTATTGCATGGATGCACATTCAAATTTCTTTGACAGTAACGTAAACAATGGCGGCTTCGATCTGAAACATTCGACCGCGCCACTCAATCCGCGTACATGATGACCGTTATAAATGCTATAAAAGGAAGAAAACAAACGTTGTTCACTGTGGATGTTCTTAATTTATTCGTATATCGATGTAGATTATCTGGAAACAGTTTTTCCAGCAACCACGGTTATCGTAGTTACCATCGTAGCAACCCGCTTCGGCTATTTTGTTCTACTTATTATAGTATTTAAACATTTTTTGGATGTAAATATAAGGATTGACCTTCATTTTGAAGATACATATGGTAGTATGAATCTTATATGCATTTGTCAAGAAACGTTGTCATTTCGGATTGGTACATGTGATTAACACCCTCGCCACATTCGGGGTCATCCTCGATACTCCAGGGGTTAAACTCAATTTCGCTCTCTGCACCCGTGGAATATGTCGTAGCAAAATGACACAAGAAACTAATTTGATCCTTTGATTTACATCAAAAGAATATCGCGGTCGCGTAACGGTAAACATTGACTGGCTTTGAAGTGGTGTATCGCTCTTTGTAATCTTCAAAGGACAGCTATCAGCCTAGCAATTTGTCAGGTTTTTCTTAACCGAGACCAATCAAACAGCTATCTTCATGTCTTCAAATTTGCTATGACATATTCCAGGGGTGCAAAGAGCGAAAGTGAGCGTAACCCCTGGAGTATCAAAAATGATTAGGGACAGGTAATCAACGGTAGTATGACTTCTGACAGGCATGGCATTGACAAAAAAAGCTACACCACAGCGTCAATACTTTGAGACAAATAAAGTAGTTATTTCGACCTTACATCGAAAAAAAGGCCACGGAGTCCCTCCAACATAAAGAAACAAAAAAATGAGGAAACAAAGCAGAGGAGGCATTCAATAATATTTAAAATAGTGGCAAAACCGGAGGCTCTGGAACAATAAGTATTATATGCACCACATGTAGCGTCCTTCATGATATTTCCCGTCAGTTCTAGGAAGTGTGTCGTGACCCGCGAATCGATGAACTCTTTGAAATTGACCTGAAGGTTCATCGAGACACTCCATTTGCTTATAAAAGGCGTTTGTAAAGGCATATAATACAGGCTATTTCCGTGCAATATTGCCGTTCAATAAAAACGTACAATAAACATGCAAATGAGTATTGTCTCCGTGGGAATCAGGTCATATTCCTACGCACTACAACTTCTACGTTTGTAAACAAAATGGCTGACCGAGTTACAAGAGATACTGTTTGCATTGATAGCAGAGGCAGGGGTACTATGAAAGAATGGAATTAGTAACCTAGTTTGATAAATTAAATATTACATGAAAACGAGTGTAAGATTCACACAAAATTTAAAAGTTGCATGTTTAAATTCCACTTGAACTTCTCCAACACACACACAATCAATGGCGAACACGTGTAACCGGTCAATTTCATCAGTGTTCTAGTTATATTTTCTGGCTCAATGACAGGCGGAAACCTCGAGGTTCACATTCACCAGCAACCCCCTCCAAAGAAACGTGCCCGTGTTATAGAGAGTGACAATCACTCCAAGTCCATGTAAACTTTTAAAAGGTGCAGACTTCAATGTGTATTGTGATGACATTTACCTTGACAGTGTTCGCACCGTTGTGCCAAGTATGTGAAGCCACTGCTATTTTCGTAAAAACTAATCCGTTGAATAGTTTTAGTATAAAAATAATTGTCAATGTTGTTATATTTTTTTTTAAAACATTGATTAATGAAAAGAAACCTTAATGATTGGTCATTTAAAATGTTCTCGGAAGGAACTTTCTGGAGCTATTTTTTTGTCGAGCAGCGAGCTCCAAACAAGAAAGATGCATGTAATGCGTCCTTTCGTCAGTCATCGGTATATAGAGTAGACGTGTTAAGAACAATTATGTAGGAGTAATTCTCTTTTTATATAATTAATAGAATCTAACACTTGTGTTCATAAAATATTGATTTTATTAAACTCGAAATTAATAAACTCGTTCAATAAATTCAATATAACATGAACACCAGTGTCGGATCCTCAATATAAGACACCACATTTGATCATAAAAGGCGTTTCTACAAGGTTTCATAAGACACTCCATTTGATCATAAAATGCGTTTCTATAAGGTTTCATAAAACACTCCATTTAATCATAAAAGGCGTTTCAATAAGGTTTCATAAGACACTCCATTTGAGCGTAAAATGCGTTTTATAAGGTTTCATAAGACACTCCATTTGATCATAAAAGGCGTTTCTATAAGGTTTCATAAAACTATCTATTTGAGCGTAAAGGGCGTTTTATAAGGTTTCATAAGACACTCCATTTGATCATAAAAGGCGTTTCTATAAGGTTTCATAAGACACTCCTTTTGATCATAAAAGGCGTTTCAATAAGGTTTCATAAGACACTCCATTTCTTCAAAAAATGCGTTTCTATAAGGTTTCATAAGACACTCCACACTCCATTTCATCATAAAATGCGTTTCTATAAGGTTTCATAAGACACTCCATTTAATCATAAAAAGCGTTTCTATAAGGTTTCATAAGACACTCCATTTGAGCGTAAAATGCGTTTTATAAGGTTTCATAAGACACTCCATTTGATCATAAAAGGCGTTTTTATAAGGTTTCATAAGACACTCCATATGAGCATAAAAGGCGTTTCTATAAGGTTTCATAAGACACCCCATTTGATCATAAAAGCGTTTCTATAAGGTTTCATAAATAAATACAAAACCTATCCAATGTTATAGTTTGAAGTAGAGATACGATTGTTTGGCATTTGACATATTACCATTACCTTAACATTAAGGTGACGAACTAAAAGAATATTATGAGATACTCTCCACTTTAACGTCGACCATCCTATTATTCTTATTAATCTGAATTAATGCAATTGTTATTAAAAACATGACAAATAATAAAATACAAATTTGCATTCTGATTGCATAATTTCCATTCCCATTTATTGACAATAACCCCATACAAACACTGTAACCAAAGATGTACACTCATATGATTGTTGATCTCTCAAGTAGACGCGCACACCTGTTATTTGTAAATACACACTCGTTGAAAATTTAATCTCTAATTTGATACACTTTTTTGATCGAAGATAACCAATACAAATTAACATTATTTCCTTACTATACGGTAACTTCATCTGTTTCCTATAAAGCATACATTCTAGATTCATAGACCGCGTGCAGGTGCGTGCATAAATGCTTTATAGTATATTCATAGGTTGTCTGCTTATATGCTAAAACGTATTTTTATTCATTGTTAACCTATAATGTATGTGATAAAAAGTACATTCATTTCTTTTGTACATATATATATATTGTTATATAGTATATTCAATGTTTGTGAACACAACATTGTATTTTCATTGTGTAATATTATACATAGCATATTCATTGTGTCAATATGGTATTCTCATATATGGTGTACATGGTTGATATTTTAGTATCAATATTGGTTGTTTACGTAAAATGATACATTGTGTATAGTATATTTGTACAATGTAATACATAGTATATGCATTGGTTATGTGCACTGCAAAGTATGTTCATTGGTTGTGTTACACAGTGTAAATTCAATAAACTAACAATGATTTCGTATGTTTGACGATATGGTACTATTGGCTATTTACTCTCGTAAATCATAAATGATCATCGGTCGCCTTACTACTGTAATGCATCCTTCTGTAAAAATCGTCATTTATTCCGTAAACTGAAGCCACTTGCATGGGTATGTAGCTTAGGTCGCATGACATCGCTACTATCCGCACTTTAGGAATCCTTTTTGTAGCTCCCATTCACTTCCTTTTTAGCATCAATTCCTTCAACGAAATTAAAGTCAACCGGAACGAACATTTGTTGAGTCCTCCTGTAAAGCCAATATGGTGTCATAACCAAATGAAATAGCGCCAACTGACTGATTAAAATGAAAACCAAGTAGGGTGATAGCGTTGCCACCAATAGCTCGAATTTCTGATAGGCTTGGTAACACACAAAATATCCTACCATAGTCCGTATATGGAAGACGTGCACCAACAGGAACTGATTCACCTTCCATAACACAGTTTGTCCCTTACCGCACTTGAGGAGAATCCAGCAGATTCCAGAAAATGGTGCGCTAATAGATATAAAGAGGAAAGTTAAACCAAAATAATGTACGATGTCATGATACGTGATCAAACAAAATCCAAACAAAGAGGCCCAGTGATGAACACTTAGCAAAGTACTGGTGTTCTTGTGCAGGTCAAATACAAGTAAAGCTCCACATTCAAACAAGAAAAATCCCGTGCTCAACAACGCTGCGAAGCAGCTGGTGGAATTCGTAGAAATCCCTGGATGCTTTAAAAGTTCGGTGTCATAGAAAAGGGTCCATGCTCCAATTACAAAACAGAAAATCCCAAAGATCCCATGAACTACGTATATATTCCAGAATGCTTTTTTCTTTTGTGTGAGACTTCTATATGTCTTTGATAAAGTCGAGGAAATGGCACCAGACAGGATGAACAGGACACAGAAGAAAACTGAGGATAAACCAATGCATTTAAGTTTGGTGAAAGGATTTCGATAATCCAACTCCACCAAGAAGGGGTGAATATGTTCCACCAAACCCATTTCACTGACTCAAAGTTTTCGTATGCCTTATAGCCTAACGTGTACCACTGCAAAGTCCCGCAACATCAGTGAGAACGCGTTGCTTTGTATCTAGACACCCTAGGTAGTGCGACGGTAACGTTTGCAATCGTGTTTTATACTGAAGATCTATAAACTGCAGACTTTTAAGTGGATTGAATGTTCGCTGCCAAGGCCCACAAGCAACGACTTGTTCTTATTGTCCCCACAAACATTATACATTTAATATCAGTGACAGATAGTAGCTGTATGTAGTGGATCTTACATACGTGTCCATGAGCGCCTAAAGGCTCGTGTCATATCTAATTATTGAACTCGTTTAATAAATTAATTACGATTTGGACACGAATGCAAGATCGTATTTACCACATAACGTTAACAGTTTGAAAACACTTCACATACATTTATTTATTTTCAGATGACTCAATAGAGGCCATAATCAAAGTTTAGCATAATCATAGCATTGGCGTTCCATGCAGTGCATCGTAATTTCAGATTAAAAAAACCCAAAGAGTACGTTGTGTACGTGATACACCAGTCCCCAACTTTGTCAAATAGAGCGACGCCTTCTATTTGATTTTGTGAATAAAAACCGTTTATGTGGAAACTGCCATTTTCTAAAAGTTGTTTGATAAATGTATTAGAATTTCATGTTCTGAATGTAATACTGTACTCCCGCCCCATTCCCATTGAGGAAGAATCTGAAAGTAACTGCAAACTTGATTTTGGATAAATGAAAGCATAAAGGTATAGTTCCTTCAAGTTGTTTAGTTCAGATTCATGCAAAGTACTATTTGAATGTACTGGATATTTATGAAGCAGACCTCCGTACAAACTACCACATAATATAGAACTTAATCTTCAGACCCAAGAAGTTGACAAGAACAAAATTCACTCGAGTTCTTCCGTAGCTTGTCTGTCAGTCCTTCTTTTAACCAGTAGATGTAAATTTTACAAACAACCCTTCTGTAAAATGTACATCTACTGGTTAATAGAAGGGCTGACAGACAAGCTTAATTTAGCACAGTTTCTAATAACCTACCACGTTCGGCGTTGATCAGTTAGTAGTTACTAAAGAAATTGAGCGGATACCGTAAAGTTGACGGACAGATATAAATCAAAGTGACCCGATAAAACAGGTATATTCAGTCCCCCCCCCCCCCCCAAATATTCAGTCGACGACCACCATCAAACCTAACTGTTTCCGATTATTTAAGTTAAAGCAATAAATAATGAAAGAACACTGATTTTATTAATTAATATTTTATTTCTCATGTAAAGGAGACTGTACAAATCACATTTGACACTAAAGATAATTGGCCCCAGTCAAGGTTATAGGAATGATTCATGGAGTACTAAAAATCAAATAAATAAAAAAAATACATACAAAGAAGACGGATATGCTGTTTCCGCAATAATATCCATCCTTTAGGCTGTCACTGCGAATGCTCAAAAATATCAGCATATGTTCTCAAAAGACAATTTCTACGTCGGGAAACTGCACAGCAAATTCAGTAGAAGCGCTTTAAGTTGGTCAGTAAATATTATATTGTGGACATGTCACTATCTGTATTTGTAAATACGAAATAGATACTCTGTGCAGAAATATTTTCATTATTAGTACACTTAAACGAGTAACCTTTCCTTCAGATTAACATATTGTAGAAGTATACTAATAAAAGAACCTGGCTTCCTGAAGAAGGGCCCACAACTTCATTACATCATTGGTACTTCATGTCTCCTTTCTTGAAATGCATATATAATTGTTAATTTGAGGTTTAAATCCTGCTTTGAGCGATATCATGGGGAGATAAATGAAGCTGAGCTTGAGGCAAAACAGTTGATGTCAGCTTATCACTCAATAAGATTGACCAAAGCACTATACAGTCCTCATAGTTCAATTAAACTCGTTAGGTAATATTAGGATCGTTTGTAAGCTTATAATTAGGCAATAGACATTTAGCTGACGCACATCTACGTGTACTCATGTCAAATCATCGTCCGTTATTGAATATCTGTTGTCGTGGATCATGTTAAAACAAATCATTCTTAATACAACACCTTTGTCACAAAAATACAGTAAAGGTGTTGCTTTAAAATATCAACTGTTGCGTCAGTACAATTCTGGCTAAACATCGTGAAATAAGAAAAAAAAGGCACAGGGCATGTGGTCAATGCCATGGGCATTGGTTGTTCATCAAGTCCAACTTGAGAAGAAATTGAAATATTCATTGCTGTGGTACTTGACATAGGGTTGTGTTATAAATACAAAAAAGGTATAGCATCAGTTGACTTATAACATAATTGTATAAAGTTAACGTTACATAATGTAATAAACTCGACAGTTATCAAAATAAAATAGTAATCATGTCCCAGTCAAAATGGCTTTTACTATCTCACATCGGTCTAGGATAATATTAATCCACTCAACACACACATTGGCTGGGGAGCACACATCGGTCTAGGATAATATTAATCCACTCAACACACACATTGGCTGGGGAGCACACATCGGTCTAGGACAATATTAATCCACTCAACACACACATTGGTTGGGGAGCATCAATAACAACATCTTTAGATGTGGTATAACTATTTGGGCAACCAATATTCTTTCCTTCATGAATTATCAAAATTGAACAGTGTTCGAGTAACCGAATTTTATCATGTATTTAAAGAAGACACAAAAAGGCTCCTCTGTTGCAATGAACCGCAATAATTTCATTGACCTCATATCACACATTATCTCATGTTTGGTCAAATATGTGTTGGTTTTAATTTAAAACTGCTTTTATTGGTCTCGGCACCTTTTTAATGAATAAGAGAGTTCGGTGCGCCCCTCAAATAACGCACGAGGCCTCCTCCTATATCTTCTCGTTGAGCGTTCACGTCTTATCCTCTGTCCAATACAATACGTATTTTGAAAGTATTCAATACAGTGTCATTTATAAACTTTATATGAATCAAAATGATTACTTAGTCTCATTCTTTTGACAAGTACAGAGGCAAAAATCTGGATCTTTCTACAGCTCTATTGGTAAACCTGTACTCTAAAATACATATAACGACTTCTCATTAAACGTTTAGTTAGCCAGCACACAATAAGACAGTCTAGGGGGAAAACGGAGGAAATCACGACTAGATACGTCAATTATAATTTTTAGTATCATATTTATCAGATCAATCATTTCGATATTTTCGATACTTATTGCATTACTGATTACTTATTGAACATACTTCACTTTGTCATACTCCAACCATTGTATATTTCAGAAAAGAAGCCATTTGAATGATCAGATATAAGGAATGTCAACAATATGACAGGCAAAATACTGTTAAATAAATGTTATAATAGTGGATAATGGCAAAAAGCAACAGATTTCCTGCATATCAGTTTTATAACACTGGAAAAGGGAAACATAAAAATAATTGATATATGCTCTATATGTTGCTCATATATATATATATTGCTCTAAATGTTCTGTAGCCAAAGTGCACTAGGTCCTGTATCATACATAATTCTAAAAGATGGTCGAAATGTTTACATAATAGCTATCGTTATCAATTCAAGTCCACACGTAGCGTCCTAACGTCACGTGACTGCCGAATGGTCCTTGGTTTTTAATATATTCTTGTGATGCCATCCTCGTCGTCGTCATGTTATAGGGTCGTGATGCCCAACCCCATCTTATCTTAGGCAATACATTATATCTGTGTAAAAGTTCCTTGGTGATCACGTGTTGGTCATGTTGGAGTCTATGATCGCCGGAAGATCATCATGCATGTCCTTTAGAAGCTCCGACATGCTGAAAAGCCATGGCAAGATATATTAAACAAGCTGTACATAGAGATCAGTAAACTTTTGTCAAGGTTGGATTTCTAAATTTAAGATAAAGGTTATTATTGCCTCAGTTATAACCGCGAAGAAGAGTTCGATGGAGATTTTTTTAGTTAGAGTATTCGCCCTTTCCAAATAGAAAATGAAGCAAACAATACGTTTTTATTCAAGCTTGGAGTAACTTCCCCTGTCACGTTATGTATCTTTCTATGTTCAATTGGACTCTCATTTGGATGCTGTGTATTTACATTTTTTGTTTAGCAACATCAGTAAAGTATGAGCTTCAGCATATAGGAGTCTCGAGCTCGATCCCGTTACAGTTGTCCTATTTTCTTGATTATTTTTTCCCAAACAATCAAAATTTCCGAACAACAATTTTGTAAAATGCATGACTACATGTCATCTTTATGGAACAGTTCTTTTAAGTACCGAAACAAATATTTCACAACAGTGAAAGATGCTATTACCTAAAACACTTGTAAATACCCATTACCTTAAATGCAAATTAAAAAAGAAACTAATATTATTGATCATGTAGGAAGCCGAGTGGTAGTGGTGTAAATTACAGGGAACACTCTCATTGGGGTTCCAAAGGGAAAATATATAATATCGTCATTGCTGAAACAGAAACGGTCGAAAGGATTTTGTAGTGAATTATACTTGACGTTAATTATGCTTATTTCTTGATTTTGCTTTTCATTTTTGATTCACTTATGATTTTAAAAAGTTATTTACATTTATTAAGGTACTCATTTAGCGTTCATGTCTTTTTTCGGATTTTGCACCAATACTTAAGTTCTAATGCACAAAGCAAAAGTTAGGTATGTTGTAATCACATTTACTTTATAATGTATATGACCGGCGATGTATGCGAGATGAAATCTCAAGACGACCTACACAAAGTCTGTGATCAATTAAAACTTGCCAGTGGCAAAATTAACACGTCACTAATGTATAACTTTGAAACGGAAATTAACGTTACATAACGTTCTATCGTAACATGTTCAATTAAACGACTGCAAAGTTGGCCACTCTCGACACGAAATATTGGCACCCACTAATTGTGGATAATTGATAAGACATGTACATCCATAACCTCAATGGATTTTATCCACTTTAAGAAACTAAACGTTTGGTGCATTTCGTTATCATTTCGCTGACATATCACATTGTATTTATAGTAAGCATACATCTGACTGCTTATAAAACTACATTCAAAGTAGTTCAGACTGATATTGATAACTTATAAAGTTATGTTATTGTGTGCTTACCTCGTAATCTGTTCACGTGTCTGTTCTACCAGAGACTGATGCTCTGTTAATTCCTTCCCAAAACCATCAACACTAAAACACAAAGTATCTTTATTTTAACAAGAGATTCTACATATTCGACTCTAAATTCAATAGACAGCAAGCATCATGACACGTTTTCATGAAACCGTTCCCATGCCCAAGCAAGGATTCTGTGCTCAAATCAGTTTTCTTGTAGCTTACTGAAATCATGTCAAACTGTTAAAACACATACGTAAACATTAGAAATAGTATTCGGTTTTAAGTCTCCCCTAATTGTTTTCCAAATCATTGACAAAATAAGATTTGTATTGTCTTATAACCAGAAAAGGAAATGAGGTTCGAGCACAAATCCATGTTTAAGCACGAGAACGATTTCATTTATACCGGCCGAGGAATCATTGTTTTTCATATAAAGCTCCACCTTTTTGATATATATTTAAGATATTGTTTATGTTTGTAAATATGTTTATGCAACATGTTTGACATTGTTGTTATCCATGTCTGCCATGTTATTCGTCATTTAATAAAATGACATTTACTGGACATATTTTATTCTTTGTTGTTCTTGATGTATAGTTATCCAAAAAATTAGCTTCAGTCGTGATGGAGATTTGTAGCATGAAGATAGTTGGATATATTAATAAACTACAATTCTAAATATGTAGCTGAAAACGGAACATATGTTTTGAAGATAACACAAACGCATACTCACCCAAACTTCATGTCCTGTGCTAGTGATTTCCTGATCAGTGATGCGGGTTTCTGGGGAGCGGGTAATGTTTCAGGTACTCCCTATAATAAAAAAAAGGGTCTAAAGCTGTATTATACGCAAAGGGAAACATTATGGAATAACCTCCGATCAAATATGACAGTAACATTTACAACAAAGTATGTCAAGATAAATATTTTGATATATTTTTGAGCGATATCACATTTTGTTTTTAACATTTGGTGTAAACTCACCTGTAGAATTTTCACAAGATCCCCAATCGACGACCGCAAATCTTCTAAATTTCCTCCAAGATCTTTGATACTCTTTGAAAATCCTGTGTAATGTCTGCAATTGTAAAAGTAAAACGCGCATATGCTCGTATATTTTTGTTAAATTGTTATCCTGATACACTAATCTTGATTCTGTCTGTAAACACCTTGTACTAAATGCATTCTTGTCCTGTACTTTCCTTTCAACGTTGTTCGAGTCTATATTTCATGTAACAAGTTATTTGACTCTGCTGGTGGACTATCACTCCCTGAGGTTGGCTTAAACTTATTCTGTCAACGTTTACATGAAATACCTGATAAGTATTATTGTTCAGTGCTAGCGAAAGTTCGGATTTTTGTATTCACCTTTTCCTTCCCGCTGTATTCTATATGATTCAGAACACATGGATTTTTTCATATTAATATGTGACCTTTAGTACCATTGTATAGTCCTAAATGGACGAAAATGGCATTTGTGTAGATAACATTTATTTTGTTTGGCTTTCTGCATTTATTAACAAGCTTTAAACCAGATGCGCCTTTTCATAATTTGAATAACTGATATGCGAGAATGTAACATGCCTCCTATCATTTTTTGCTGAAAAACTTCAATCACACCGTTTAAATCATCTGCGGTTTCAAAACAAACCTGTGCCATACGATGAACTTCAGATGTGTTTCTGCTAGGCTTTGCCGACAGTCCTCAAATCCATGAAGAGCTTTCTTGTTGAGATCCTCCATAGCCTTCCTAGAAACAAAAACAAATGTCATAGTGTTAACAAATACAGATAGGAATTAAACACATCTTAGCCCTTTACACTAGTACTATATAATCTCACACATCCTCTCCAGTATCCTCAAAGATCTCATCCGTATTTTATTTCTTCACATGAAGACAAAACTTGGGTTATCACACAGCAATCTTACCTGTCAAAAGCAAACAATTTCTGTTCGTGGTACGACAGTCTGTTCTTACATCTGTAATCCCTGAACTTTTGGAGACGCGCCTTGCTCAGTTCAACTATTCGGTCTGCCTTTCCCTCCCTGACAGAATATGTAATATTTATACAGTTATTATCATTCATGCTATTCTAAAGGTAAACGGGAAAAATGTTTTAGGTTAACGTGCTATTTTCTATTCCAGATTTAATTGATATCAATAATTGTTCTTCATGGTTTATAACAATACAATTGAATATGACTGTCTTCCATGTCATGTAAACTAAGTAATTGTACATATCAATAGAAACACAAGAGATTAAGGAAGATGTATATTAGCTGCTTGATGTAAATATGCGAATTTCAGTTATATATACTAATTCCATATAACGCATGTGATCGCATTTTTTTTTTTATATTTGATGGTGTCTCCTGAAATGATACCCGGGGCTCATCATATGGGGGAACCGTTTTATATGCAATGATCATTTTACACTTCGCAATACTAACCTGGGATTAAATATTTTAAATAATTTACATCAAAACGATTCAAAATAGTTGTAGACACTGTACTAAATGACAAATTAAAGTTGTAGGTTCATCGGAAAGTAATTAACTTATGGGTAGTAGATTCTTTCAATTAAAAAATTGCAGAATATTTACATTGATCGGTAAACATCAAAATGGTACTATGCAAACTGAAACGGCATCCCAACGTAAAATAACATCATGATATTGTGACGGTATTGGTTTTGAAAGTCGCATATTAATTTTGCCAACATTACTGCCATTATAAAAGGAAAGATTAGATGTTATAATGGTTATTATACTGACCAGCGCTGGTTTTGTAGGACAGTGCTGTCGGAGATGTTCCAGGCCTCCTTAGCAGCGTCGTACTCATCACGGACATTCTTCAGCCTCTTACCACACGTCTGAAGCTTGTCTCGGATCTGAGGGAAGACGCACAGGTATTTAACTTATATATTTCCGATTCCAATCAGGATAAACAGGTAATCACCATACTAAACTTACATATTTATTTCTATCACTACACACACGCAGCTAATTTGTTCATTTAAGCTTTCTTACCACTTTGACACCACTCATTGACGTTAACAGTGGATTCAACTGGTATAAATGAGAGCACTGCTTCAACAACGATACACTTTCTATGGAAAGTAAGAATACCAGGTAGCTGTTGCCTCTTCATTTTCCATTTATCCAGCTCAACTGTTTGTCTTAACGACAAGTCAATTGATGATAGTGATGTTTCGCTTGTATGCCGTTCTGTTACTACTCGCTATGATCGATTTAATGCCGTTTTGTTTCTTGTCTACTCCAAAAGCCACAATGGTTTGTTGTCTTCTTGCCTTTGTTCCTCCACTTGACAACATAAGTGTTTTGTTTTGTTGCCGTTTTTTTACCTCCACTCGATCGAAATGGAAATTTACTGACCAATCAAGGGCATTACAGATTCGTTTACATCAGCCGTTTTCATCGATCTTTACTTTTCAACACTGTCAACAGAGACGACTACCTCTAGACAATTTTAGTCATGAATTTCCCTTTCTGGGAAATAATAGTCCTGCTTCCCCAACACACGATGTTAACACGTCACAGTTGATTCGGTAATCAAGGCTTACTCCGATATCATGATTGTTCGTGATATATGTCGACTGCTGACAGGCAAACTTGCATTACCTAGTTTCAAGAGATACAGTTGATGAAAACTAAGGGCAAGTTATGATTTCTTTAGGAAACATGTATTTTTGTGTTTTATAAATGTCGATGTTTTTTTGTTTATTTTGTTATTTGGCGTACCTTGTTCTTTCGTTTTTTCTACCCCGGTTCCCACTGAAGTCGTGTGATTACTTGTATTTGACATTGACTGATTTAGTTGATGCTAACCCTTCCAGATCATCTGGTCTTACTCTCCTTGTACTTTTTCCAGGGTTTCCCATGCTCATATTTTGCTTTATTTTATTTTTGCTACTTTGTTATTCTATAAATATTTTACATTTAGCAGTTGTCTGTTGTCGTCTAGAACAATATTTACATGATTTGTTTAACAGAGGTTCTGTCCACATAGGATCTTAGATGAATATAATGGTACAATGATTTGTATGTCTTTGATAGAGGTTGTTTTTGCCATGACTGTTTAATGATATATGCAGACAGTTTCATGAACGCACGACCCTTGCTAAATTGGACGCTTAGAAATATAATTATATTGTTTAAAATACAGTTTGTGGAATCAAACCTATTTTCAAACAGAAATAAATGATGTCATTAAATCATTAATAATTAATAAATAATTATTTTTGTGTTTTATAAATGTCGATGTTTTTTTGTTTATTTTGTTATTTGGCGTACCTTGTTCTTTCGTTTTTTCTACCCCGGTTCCCACTGAAGTCGTGTGATTACTTGTATTTGACATTGACTGATTTAGTTGATGCTAACCCTTCCAGATCATCTGGTCTTACTCTCCTTGTACTTTTTCCAGGGTTTCCCATGCTCATATTTTGCTTTATTTTATTTTTGCTACTTTGTTATTCTAGCTTGCTTCATGTCTTCTTGACGTGAATTTCTCCCTTTCTTTTCAACAAGCTACCTTTATACATAATACTTCCACAGGGTTACAACAGCATTGAGAAAAGTGTTACAACAATTTATGCGCAGGTAACCTTGAAATATGTTTAAAGTTATTATAGTTTAATAATACTTCATTTCTGATTTCATTTGCTTTATAAACACACATTCCAAGGTTTTGAATTATAGGTTCGTTTTCGAGTTATGCCATGATTTTAGTACACTCATTTTGTATGTTTCTTCTTTGACCAATAATTTATGTTGAAAACAGAACCTCTGACAGGTGTCTGAGGGGTACAGGTCTTTTTGTCAATGGGGTTTTGTTTTGTGGGGTTTACATAGTTGTTTTGGTCCCTTCTTGGCTGCTGTTTTATTTTCCTATTACCTTTGTTCTAGTTCCGAATTCGTCCTTAATAGCTCACTTATGGTACATGTTTTATGTTTATCTTGGTACCTCTTGGCCATATTGATTCTCCTTTCCCATGAATATTTTACATTTAGCAGTTGTCTGTTGTCGTCTAGAACAATATTTACATGATTTGTTTAACAGAGGTTCTGTCCACATAGGATCTTAGATGAATATAATGGTACAATGATTTGTATGTCTTTGATAGAGGTTGTTTTTGCCATGACTGTTTAATGATATATGCAGACAGTTTCATGAACGCACGACCCTTGCTAAATTGGACGCTTAGAAATATAATTATATTGTTTAAAATACAGTTTGTGGAATCAAACCTATTTTCAAACAGAAATAAATGATGTCATTAAATCATTCAGAAACCAATATCAAACTGGCTTTAGTACTCACATTGTCAAAGTTATCATCGATGACTTCACCGTCTTTAGATACACATGCAAAGCCTTGTGCATGCTTTTTCATCTCATCTGTAGTGAAGCAGGACACATCATCAAATCTCTCCCAGATAAAGTCGAAATCCCGTCGGTGCTGGCGAATCTTCTGATCAAACATTGAACTGAAAACAAGAAGGGTAACATATTTACAACATCAGATTATCAAGAAAAATGGACCACATGTCAGCAGCATCAGCACACAGAATCAGGATCATAGGTCACATGTTAGTGGCATGCCATAGTTTACAGTACATAGTAAGGAGCAATATAGTGTTGTGGAGAATGTAAAATATACTGACCCATGCCTAGCGATGGTCCTGGTGAGGAGTTTCTGTGAGAGCACAGCTGAGCGCACCATCTTCCTGGACAGATGAATGACCTCACACATCTTCTTGGCCAGCCTATAGTCATGGTCAGTATTGACCACAGTGGGAAACCCAGCACAGGGCTCTAAAACATAACATAAATCATTTATCTTCGCATTAGTGAGTCTTTAGATTATGAAAAGAATACTGATACTTGGGTGTTTCTTTAAATGAACCAACTTATACCTTCACATAAAGTACATGGTATCACTGTTCTATATAATTAGCCACTACACGAAATAGGTTAACAGCATTCCCACCACTTTGAAAACAAACTATAAACTCTACATGGTAACCTGGTGGTCTTGACCTTCGATCTTAACTATTGAAGCTGTCATGCTTCTCTACAAGCTGACAAGCACTGGATGAGGCATCAATTAGTAAAATATGAAAATATATCTATCGGATGCCTTCATAAGTGAGCATATAAAGAGCGTTGATATTCCATTCAGTACTGCATGTATGAAGAAAGAGATATTTTTAAATATATAAACCAAGTAAGCTAGTGATCTGGACCTTTGATCATCAACTATTAAATAAAATGTACCATGAGACAGATGATAAAGAAGGAATGGCAAACATTTAATATCTCAGGTACATGATGGGGAAAAGTAATGTGTAGACTTACTGTCAATGACTTTATCAAAGCCTTCAATTTTAAACAGCGGTGGTCCATTTCCAGCTGTCTTTGTTGGCATAAGGACAAGTGGGTCTGCTCTGGAGGTATGTGGGTACCGGTAGATAGGGGTATCCTGCATTAGTGTTCCCACAATATCTCCATTCTCACACAGCGTGACCTGTTCATCTACAGCCAGGCCTGTGATCCGTTTTATATCCTCTGACAGGTTTTTGTACCTAAATCACATAGAGACATCAGGTAACTATGCGATGAATCATAGCATCACAAAAATTGTATATCAGCTTACTTACTAACAAAAAGTGAGGTTACTACATACAGAACATCAAAGTCAGGTAATACACACAGAACATCAGTAAGGGGATAAAACGGATATCAACATTTATGACAGTTATGATGGTATGAAACCAGGTTGCTTACAAACATATCCCATGATGCACTGAAGCACTTCTTGGAGAAAGTCTCAAAAATAAAATAAGAATAAAAATAAATATACAACATTTGATATAGCGCCCCATCTAGCTAACATAAGCCACTCTAAAGCGCTTTACAGTACATAGATATACAATTTAATACAATAAGCATATACATGAATCAATAAAATAATTGAGGAATTCGCAGGAGCTGCCTTATCAGGCACTAACTACTAGTCGTATGCCACCTTGCTAAAATCTCCCTATGTGTGTATGCCTGCGTGTGTGCTGGAGATGTAATGTGTCCTGTTTGTAGTGGGACCGTGTTTCCAACGGCATCATTTATAGTGCCACCTCACTTGAATGCTACAGCACAGATACTGCAACATCCATCCCAGACCAATCTATACTCCACCTCGGTTGTTGGAGTTGTGTGGGCAGGAGAAAAACACTTTCTCTGAATATCCATGCGTGCGATGACTGCGTGGAAGGTCGGAGTGTTAACCACTTGACCAATCCGCCCAAAGAAGAGCTTATTATGATCATAAAAATTTAGAATATTTTCAAACCTTGTTTTGTTTTAGAAAAAACAATATTCAAACCTGGTTTTGATTTAAAAAAAAAACAAACCCTTATATTTCTGTATTGTTTTGTATGGATCATGATCAGGTTTCTTTTTTGTTTCAATCATCATCAGGAAAAAGTCAATCAGAAACCATACAGATTTTATGTCACAGTTGGAATTTGACATCTTAACATGCATGGTCCCTGATTACTTTTTAAGCATTATTTTCAACATTCACGAGGTCATGCATAATAACACTGGCTTTCTGGACATATTCTACGTCATTGTAGTCTATCAATACTCATTAATGAGGCCACCTTGCAGAAAAAAAGCTAAATGATCTAAAAGGCTATACAACAGGCAAATTATTCAATGTCTGCCTACAGAAAGTAACAACCTGTATCATGCAATTTAGAAAATAACACTGGAAAGCTAGCAAGTTTGTCAAAATGCAAAAAACTTTCCTTTTGGTGAAAATATTATTACATGGTTACCTAGAGTCCCTGTCCAGAAAAAGTCGGTAGTGCTGACCGTTGAGGGAGGAGAAAATATGCAGCTGGTGGACGCTTGGGTCAATGAGTGTGTCTGCTGCATCAAAGAAATCGTCAAATCCCCAGGAGGTATCTTTAGCACTGTCGAACATGCGGACGAGAATGTCCCTGGTACGGTCCCTCAGGGGCCTTCAACAACGAACATATATTTGTAGAATCAGAACGGCCTCTTGATAATGTAATTATAACAAAAGTATTATTGGTTATTCATCTACTCCCTTCCTTTCAAAAAATAATTTCCTGAATATTACATTATTAATTTGTGACAGAATCTGTATTATGATTACCATTAGTGATTTTCTATTTTGTAAATCTGTAATGATTTAAACTGAATGCGCTGATTTGCTGAAAAAATCCAATTTTTTACAAAAATATAATACGATATCTGTTAAAGCTGCAGTTAAGAATATTTTCTTAAATAAATATTAAAAGCATGTTACTCATTTACATATCACATGATTAAATCCAGGACATTCATTGGCTGTTTACACATAGATGATATATGGTATAGTCATTGAGCTGTATTGACAACATTTTAAATGACATCATTAAAAACGAACTCCTCTCCTTGTTGGAAGCTAATTTTGTCCTGAGGTTGAGAGCCTGTTTTAATTAGTTAAATATTTTTGAAACCAATTAAATTTGTGTGATATACTGAAGACATCAATATATTCTCTTCTTTGGCAACAGTGCTTGTATAGTATTATTCATAGGAGTAAGTACTGCTATCTGCTTAACCCTTTCACCCCTAGGTAATTTTAGTAGACTCTACCATACATTTATCTGTATGAGTCCATTGTGGTCCATAGTGGTGCAAGGGTTAAACTACTAGGTCGCTTTCTTTTACCATGTTCCAAACAGCTAGACTGATTCAACAAGAGTAGTTTATGAACTAGGGCCAGACCTAATGATCTAATGGCGCTTTTACAGTCGGCCTTGGCAAAGACTTTCATGGTTTGCACTAACACTTACATGTCTGTTAGGCTTCATCCCTGAAATGTTCCATTTGAAAATAAACAGAACAGTTTGTGGGCATAACGAATCAACCCATATAATCCATTGAGTAATAATATACGGTAGCAGTTTCCTCAGAAAAAGGTATTGATGTATGACAAGGCAGATAACTGAGACTGTCTACATACATACACTGAGTGACCTATGAGTGCATACCTGGACAGCTTGCAGGTATTTGGAAGCTCCCTGCTCTGCTCTATGAATGCATAACTGGAGAGCTTGCAGGTATTTTCTGGAAGCTCCCTGCTCTGCTCTATGAATGCATACCTGGAGAGCTTGCAGGTATTTGGAAGCTCCCTACTCTGCTCTATGAATGCATACCTGGAGAGCTTGCAGGCATTTTTTGGAAGTTCCCTGCTCTACTCTTTAGGTGCATACCTGGAGAGCTTGCAGGTATTTGGAAGCTCCCTGCTCTACTCTATGAATGCATACCTGGAGAGCTTGCAGGTATTTGGAAGCTCCCTGCTCTATAATTTGGATAAATATCTGGAGAGCTTGCAGTTGTTTGGAAGCTCCCTGCTTCACTCTATGGGTGAATACCTTGAAAGCTTGCAGGTATTTGGGAGCCTGGCTCTACTCTAGATCTACGAATACATACCTGGAGAGCTTGCAAGTGTTTGGAAGATCCCTGCTCCACACTATAGGGCCCCCACTAACCAGTTGCTCGCCTGATATCACACCTTTTGCTTTGTTCGAGAGAATCTCATACCTAAAACAAATCAGCATAACGACTGCCTCACATTAAAAATACCCAGTAGAAAAAGAACACTGACATTGTATATTTCAAGGTGTTTTTCCAGCTTGATACATTTTTCATTGAAATATTTATATTAATTTTTACAAGTTTATTCAGCTGCATGCTCATGTACATGTAGTACAGTGACTGTTTTCGTAACATTATCCTTTGCCCAAGGTAAATATCACACTTACTTATCTAAATTAGTCTTAAGTGAAATTTTCACCTGGGGCCCAGGTGTTGTAAGGTAAATGAACTATTACCTCGAACACCAGCATGCAGTGCAATGTCGTCTCTGGTACTCTATACCATTACCTTGAACTGATAAAGAAGTCCAGAATTGGAGTTGATTGATCAATAAACTTTTAAATATTTCTTTGTCCTCTTTCCTTCAGGTTATGAGAGTTAAAAGGTATTCATACCTGTTTTTCTTCGCAGTGTGACTGGTTAGTTTAGGTACTCAGATATATATTTATATAATAATACCAGTGTGCGTAAACTCGTTAACATGTTCAGTAATGAAGTAATACCTGTGTGTTGTAGTTTAAACATATTTTACATGTATTACCATAATCTAGCTGTGATGGGATCAGGTGAAAGTTTTAAAAATGTATAGAAGCCTTTTCTATAACTGGGTGTAGAAACGTGTCATAGTATTCAGTATTATAGTAATTTAATCAGATATATCATAGTGATACCAGTGTGTGTTATATACTGACATAGATAATCTAATTATTTTCATTGGCTAATATTTGGACAGTATACTTGGTATTGCAATAACATCAACACATGGGACGTAGTTAGTATAGTAAGAGCTGAAATGCAGGAAACAACAGTATGTGTATCGTTGTTCACACATCTTAGTATGAAGTCTGTAAGGTGGGAATTATTACACTGTATGTGAGTCTTTTTGTCTCCCTAAAACATCCTGTCTTAAAAAAAAATGTGTACTCAGCATTTGGTTTGATTTCTTACATTGGTAAACACAATTATATATACATATGTATGTACCCTAAAAGTTGAGACCATATGACTTATCATTTTTTTAAACTTATTTGCATTTATCCTAGATCACTATTTTTGCCTAAAATAGAAACGACACTTTTTTTGTATTTGCGTCTTAAAAAAGGGATTTTAGACAATTTTCTACAAAGTTTTTGTGCTCATGAGTAAAACAAAACCAAGACAAGTAATATGAACTTGTGTTACCTGTACAAGTACTATTTAATAAAAGTTCTACAGAAAAACCTGTATAACTAATAATAAAATTTTGTGAACGGGCCAGTAAAATCTACCATTATAGAGAGTAGCTTACTGTACACTAGAAGGGGTCACTATTTACAAACAAGTATTTTCTGTTCTAAAAATTCTGTACTAATAATATCTGTTTCTAACTTCATAAGAAAACCAATCAGAGGGATGTGCCCACTTACGTTTTGGCCTTGTCAAAGCGACCACCGTATGCATGGAATGGTACCTGTCCTGTGGCAGCGTGATATAAAGTCACTCCGAGGCTCCACATGTCTGCTGAGATGTCAAAACCCTGACAGTTACGGTTGTCTATAAACGCTGCCTTGTATATGTCAGGATGCTGTAATTAATTCAACATCATCCATTGAAGAACAGGAGTACCGCAAGGAGGAACAAAATACACCCGTCGAATGCCATATAGTGTTATATACTTTCTTACATTGAAAAAAGATCTGCTTCATTCTAAGAGTGGTTAGCTGACATGCTATAAAAAATGTAGAAGAAAATCTCCGGACAAAATATCAAATCCTGAAATGCACAAAGGGCAGTAAATTTTGCAAAAATAGTTGAATCAAAATTCTTTTTAAGGGAGACACAACTTCATATCATGATTATAATGTATACCAAGTTTCAAAGAGATCCGTTGAAAAATGTAGGAGGAGATTGCCGGACAATAATCAAATACTGAAATAAACAAAGGGCAATAACTTTTGCAAAAAATGTTGAATCCAAATTCTGTTCAAGGAAACACAACAACATATCATGATTAATTAGCCTACTAAGTTTCAAAGAAATCCGTCAAAAAATGTAGGAGGAGATCTCCGGACAAAAAATCAAATACTGAAATGAACAAAGGGCAATAACTTTTGGAAAAATTGTTGAATCAAAATTCTTTTAAGGGAGACACAACTTCATATCATGATTATAATGTATACCAAGTTTCAAGGAGATTGTTCGAAAAATGTAGGAGCAGAATGCCGGACAAACAAAAGTTTATGCCGAACGGACGGACGGACAGACAACCCCATACCATAATACTTCTGTCAAATTTGACAGGCGTATTAAAAGTAACTGTAATCTGATGAAAACATAGATTCATATTAATGGAAATAAAACTATTAAATACTGTCTCCTGGGAAACGTTCTCCCAGTCAAATATTCACACTTTGTCGATAAAGTCCATGCTTGTCTGGTGTAAATTTTGCCCTTCACATATAATTTCTGTATAATTTTATGTTGCTGTACTGAAAATTCTCCATCATGATAAATTTGCCCTCATTGGGGAGGACAAATTAGACGAAAGTTAAACTGTGGTGAAAATTTCCCAGTATACAGAATATTTCTCATACAGCAGTATACAGCAAAATGAGAATACTGTCGATACAATCAATATAGCCGATTCACTCACTCTAATAGTTGGAAAATGAAATTGTGTAGAAGGTAAAACTTTTACAAATTCCCAATTAAGATGTTCCAGATATTACACAGAAAAATAACCAAGCAAGGATAAAAAAAATCATCAAAAAAGTTCTTTTAATGAGTATTTAAGCTAAAGGGAGTTAACTCTTCTGTATGTGATGAGAAGCGTTCTATTTATTATTGACTTCTCTTGATTCTAGTACAACTAGAGCAGCAGCATCTAGTGCATTATAAAGACTTTTTTTATTATCTAATACATCTCAACATATATCATCAAAGACAGTGGAAACATGACGCACCAAGTACTAGGATAGATTTATTATAATTCTGTCGACATGTACACCTACCAAATACTCTTCTGTGCCGACCAGGGACATGAAACAGTCTTTGTCTCCCAGAGGTTTAGCTGTACCAAAGTCGGACAGCTTGTACACATTGCTGGAAAATATCAGAACAGACAATCAGAAACCATAAACATGTGTAACAGGATGAAAAACAAACATCAATTAGACATCAATTAGACTGGGATTAAAACATCCAAAATCTAGAGCATAAATTTGCATGAAATTTGTCACATATTGTGTACATGTAAATATTAGTGTATCATAATCTGATGAAACGGAATATAAACTAATTAGACCCACAACACTGAAATAATATAAACAATATAAATGTAACGGAATCTTCCTTCAGTATATACCAGATCAGGATGACATTTCATAATTATGATCTTCAGGCGAGGTCTGTCCATAATTTACTGACCTGGTATGAGAAATATTCAGTGAGGCTGAGGGCTGAGGTAAATAATGCTCAGACATAAGCCCATTAATGGTAGATCTCAATTGAAGTCCAAAATCATTTAATCATGACATTTTACCTTTCACGTAGCTCATCCTTTACCTCACATCTGAATCACTTTAAATGCTGGGAATAAGGATTGCATTGACCATTACATAATGTAACAGTTATTTCTATTCTGAACGAGAGGCTTAATGGGCCTGCATCGCTCACCTGGTATTAATCGAACACTTGTAACCTTAAAAATTATCTAAAATAAAGCTACAGGCAAAATATCAGTATTTATGACTATTTACATTGACACATGTGATCTTGAATATAAGTCAAGGTCATTCACTTGAACAAACTTGGAAGCCTTTCATCCTAGCATGCTACTGGCCAGATATCATCATCGTGGCCCTGTCGGTTATTCAGGCCAGGTGAGTTAAAAATGGGATCTGTAGGATATTTACAGATTTGGTTACTTGAAATACCATAACCTATTTTTTTAGTAAATATCTGTAACACTTTTCTATTCTTAGGATGAGGTCTGTAACTGCTTGATTTGCAGACTCATCACATAATGTCACTCCTCAAATCAGAATTGGGAATTAGCAACAAGGAGGATCCTCTATCAATACCATTTAGATCAGAATGATATCCTTCATTATTCTAGATCAGACTTATACATACTTAAGCACAGAAAAATTTTAAGTCTTTTAAATAACCTAATGACAAATTAAAAAATTCAGTTTAAGTGTTAAATTAATGGTTTGCATCAGCTATGCTATGTGTGAAAATAAAACTTTCTTTAAACTATTGCATTGCAAAAAACACTCCTTCTAGATTTAAATCAAGCTCCTTCAGTAACACTTAATACCAGAAGAGCACTAGCTCCAACTGTGGTGTTATAAAAATAAGTATCAGCATCGTTACCTACCTGCCGTCATCATCTGTAAAGATAAGGACATTCCCAGGTTTGATGTCTCGATGAGAAAAACCTTGGTTCCTCAAATGTTTTGTACCATTTACTGAAATACAAACATATTTTCATCTCAAAATAACAATTTAATGAATAGGGAACTTTTTTAATTCAAATTAACTCCAGTGTTTAGATTATATAACTGCTTACCACCCATCCTCCTAAAATGTAAACACTCTGTCAATAACATTTACCTAAATGCTCGAAGACCCTGAGAAACTCTTCCTCATCCATACCGAAGCCATTTTCTGGTTCCTTGAGGAGATCCAGTAAACTACCTTTCTCACAGAGTTCCATGACCAGCACATTCCTCTTCGTCAAGCTCTGGAGCACACAGAATAAAACACAACGATTAGGGACAGATCTATTGATTACTCCAACAAAGGTACATCAAGGGGAGACAACAATATATGATGTGGTTTTTATAGTTTGGTTTTCAATTAAACCATTCTATCACGAGAAAAAGAAAAAAAATCCCCCAATTTCTACAACCAACATATAATAAAGGAAGCAATGTTTTTTGTAGCTGTCTATGGTTAACCAGCATACTTGCCAACATTTTTTTTATTTTTAAGGGGGAAATTATGCTTGCTCAGAATTATAAGCATAAACATAATGCGTGTATGAACACTTTTGAATGGCATCTTTTGAGCTGTTCTTTCAGATGCAATCAACATATCTTAGGAAATAGGAATAGTTTAGCAAATTCACTGGTTGAAAATGTTAATGTTAGGGTCCAAAATTGGGAGTCTACCTCCAAAATAGGGAGAGTTAGCAAGTATGCAACCTGAAAGAATCAACAATAATTCATTCATTCTATACACATGATACATATATACTGTACACACGAGACATACTATACACATAACATACTAATTATATGATCGTATCAGATATTTTCCTTTTTTCCCAAGGCAGATACCTATGATTGGTATTAAGTGGAAAAAAATTAACAATCTGAAATGCGTAAAAAAAAAAAACAGTAGGAAATTTTGTTTGAAACCAAAATTAGAAACGTATACATGGGCACACTGTCAAAAATAACTTGTGTCTCTATCACAGCTGGACTCTGACTGTCTGGGTGTGGTAACTTACATCTTTTTCACAGTGGGAGAATCGGACAATGTTTGGGTGTTGAAGTTTTACCAGAGCCTCTACCTCCCTCTGTATATGTGAAGTAAACTTGATCTCAAACATCTTCAGGGCTACCACTTCGCCTGTTGTCTGTAGGGATAATACAAAGATAAAATCATAGCTATTTCAAACATGTTAATGTTTATCACTATTTAGAACATTTCATGATAACCTAATCAGCCTCATCCGATGATGTGACTATAATACAGGTCTTTTGAAACGTCAACATAACATAATTATACTACCAAGTAGTGTTGGGAATCGGAATCGGAATTCATAATCGATTATCGGAAGACTTTTAATGAACGATTATCGATTATAATCGGAACATCCAAATTCTGGTAAATTTATTTGAAATATGTGTAATTATGATGGTATATACCACTTCGAATTGGGATTTGCAACATGATTTTGCCATGTAAAATCAAAGGCTGACTTGGTATATCCATTTGACAGTCTTTTATGCTTTTACACCTTTAGCTTTGACCTACTACTAGAATTTGACCAAGAGTAAATCTGACAGATATCATCAGAAAACAGCATGCAACATTTAAACCGATTATAAAAATTCTTAGACCTGAAACATGATACCAAATAAAAACCAATAGAAAACAGAATCTTTCCTGTATCAGTTATAAATGAAATAAAGAGGAGCATCTCCTAATCCTGCTACCTGACAAATGATACATGTATTTATTAGATACCAATAATTTAAGTATCTCCCGAAAGTATCACCTAGAGATACATGTATTTGAGTTTAAGTTAGTAGTGTTAGTGTCTGAATAAAATTTCACAGTAATTTAGTATTCTATATATCCTTTAAATTTAGTATTCTATATATCCCTTAAATTTAGTATTTTATATATCCCTTAAATTTAGTATTCTATATATAACCCTTAAATTAGTATTCTATATATCCCTTAAATTTAGTATTCTATATATCCCTTAAATTTAGTATTCTATATATCCCTTAAATTTAGTATTCTATATATAACCCTTAAATTTAGTAGTCAACATATCTTTAGTAGTCTATATATCCCTTAAATTTAGTATTCTATATATCCCTTAAATTTAGTAGTCTATATATCCCTTAAATTTAGTAGTCTACACATCCCTTAAACTTTTTGGCAAGTCGACTCAACAATTAATACTGGTACCTTCAATTTCTATTAATGAAGAGATTTCTTATAAACAATAGATCTTGATATCTCATACAATCCTAATCTACAAATTAATTAGATATCTTTAATTCATTGAAAGATATCTTGATTTCATTTCTGTTATACTTCTGTGACCCCTCTGTGGGTTAATGTGCCATATGATTTTTTTGTTTTGTTTTGGGTTTAACGTCCTCCTACATGTAACAGCCAGGGTCATATGAGGTTGGGTGTCTACGGAGACAACGCCTGAGGCAGGAGGTGAGATAGAAAAGAAAGAAGACAGAAAAGATAGGAAGTGTCATAGGATATATATTTATAGATAATTAGTCCTAGTCTCCAGGACCCCTGCACAGCCTGGGATGACTTGAGATATTGAACAGGATGTAGATTAAGTACTTGGAACCAACTTAATATTAATTATTACAATTACAAAACCTCAGGTGATACTAAATAAGATACATTTGGGTATTTCTTAATGCAGTGAAGATACTGAAACATTATATGTTAGTTTAATTCACACTATTCACTTACATTTCCTTTCAAACCTGTAGTAACTATAAAAGTGTGTATACTGAATTGACTAATCAAAATATTATAATATATGTGTATCACAAGAGTCAGGAATTCTGTCATTTCTGTCGCGAATTAAGAATAACAGCAACCCAAAAAAACTATATTATACTACGTATTTTTTAAGCATTTTAGAGTTTTTGTATTCCTGTGATTATTAATTTATGACAGAATTTCTAACTCTTATGTTATGACTGTATAAACATATACATATAAACAGTTATAAATAAAGAAACAAAAATAATTTAAACGATTCATTGTTTAACATTTCTTGTCCTGGTTATCACCGAAACTGGTATTATTACATCATTTGGTAATAGGACTTCTAAAATATATTTTGTTGAAAATAACTGTAACGCGAAATTGATTCAGACACCAGAAAAAATATCAAAACGAAAGTAGGGTTAGCCTGTAAACCTAGATACCTTGTTGATCCCTTTATATACATCGCCCGTGGCACCCCTCCCGAGCAGGTCCTGGGTACAGTACACATGACTGTCCGTCTCCTTCATCCCCTCCACTCCGTACAGACGGTCCATTATCTTATATATCTTATGGTTTCATATAAGCCCTCGTTGTTGACACCTCCATTGATGTGGTGCGACAACTACGTATTAATGGTAAAAGGGAAGTAACTCTTAAACTGGGAAAACCACTGAGGTTCCCGGTGGGAGGTATAAAATTGCAATAGCATGCTATATTTGATGTACGTTCTTGCCTGAACAGTTTGTTTCAGTTTATTTAATGTTTTATTTTTGTAAATATCTATGAACATCAGATTGTTGTGATGAGATTGTTGTCATTAATTTAAGATCCCTCAGGTTATTGTGTAAGACAGGTACATAATATATTCCAGTAGATAACGTCATATCCTCAATTTTAACTATTTATAGACTTAGATGTAGGAATCTCCAAACTGGAAATGCCTTTTACTATTTATATTTCGCCAACAGTATTTCATTTCGGAACTTGCTTAGGCTGGAGAAAAAAAAAGAATAGTTGGGTCTCCAGGCCAAGTTTAAACATGACTGGTCTTAGTAGAGACGTACATGTATGTATCTAGGTAGAGAAGACTTTGTAAGTTCGTGATTTTATTCCCGTTGACGTCACCTTGTCATGGGATTTCTTGTCATCGTACATATTGTCCAATCTACCTAAATCCAGGCCTATGTTGCCCGCTCAGGTTTTTTTCTTTCAAATCATTAAAAACGACCGCAACACTCAAGACAAATTGTATGCCCGGTGCCATATTGGTCACATGAAGCACTGTTATAATATTGTTTCATTACTTTAAAGAAAATATCTGCCTAATGTTATTTTCTTTGTTTTATATAAAACAAATTTGATTTCATTTTTCAAACATGCCAGACACCGATTCGGACCCTGTGACATAATTTAAATAGCAGTTGTTGTCTTGACTTTTGAGCCACAAAAAAAAGCAAATATTAATTAAAATGTTTAAAAGGGTATGGCGAAAGAAACACAACTTATAGATTGGTTAACGTGATAATTATATAAATACAGGTTGTTAAAAGAATATTAATTGTTTGGTTCTAATGTGTATTCTTAAGGCACAGAATAGAGATAAACGGATATATTTAACAAGGTAGATAAACGGATATATATAACAAGGTAGATAACCGGATATATATAACAAGGTAGATAAACGGATATTTATAACAAGGTAGATAAACAGATATATATAACAAGGTAGATAAACGGATATAAATAACATGGTAGATAAACGGATATATAACAAGGTAGATAAACGGATATTTATAACAAGGTAGATAAGCAGATATATATAACAAGGTAGATAAACGGATATAAATAACATGGTAGATAAACGGATATATAACAAGGTAGATAAACGGATATAAATAACAAGGTAGATAAACGGATATATATATAACAAGGTAGATAAACGGATATAAATAACAAGGGAGATAAACGGATATATAACAAGGTAGATAAACGGATATATATATAACAAGGTAGATAAACGGATATAAATAACAAGGTAGATAAACGGATAAATAACAAGGTAGATAAACAGATATATATAACTAGGTAGATAAACGGATATATATAACAAGGGAGATAAACGGATATATATAACAAGGTAGATACACGGATATATAACAAGGTAGATAAACAGATATATATAACTAGGTAGATAAACGGATATATATAACAATGTAGATAACCGGATATATATAACAAGGCAGATAAACGGATATTTATAACAAGGTAGATAAACAGATATATATAACAAGGTAGAGAAACGGATATATATAACAAGGTAGATAACCGGATATATAACAAGGTAGATAAACAGCTATTTATAACAAGGTAGATAAACAGATATATATAACAAGGTAGATACACGGATATATAACAAGGTAGATAAACAGATATATATAACTAGGTAGATAAACGGATATATATAACTAGGTAGATAAACGGATATATATAACAAGGTAGATAAGCGGATATATAACAAGGAAGATAAACGGATATATATAACAAGGTAGATAAGCGGATATATAACAAGGAAGATAAACGGATATATATAACAAGGAAGATACACGGATATATAACAAGGTAGATAAACGGATATTTATAACAAGGTAGATAAGCAGATATATATAACAAGGTAGATAAACGGATATATATATAACAAGGTAGATAAACGGATATAAGTAACAAGGTAGATAAACGGATATATATAACAAGGTAGATAAGCGGATATATATAACAAGGTAGATAAACGGATATATACCAAGGTAGATAAACGGATATATATAACAAGGAAGATAAACGGATATATATAACAAGGTAGATAAGCGGATATATAACAAGGAAGATAAACGGATATATATAACAAGGAAGATACACGGATATATAACAAGGTAGATAAACACATATATATAACTAGGTAGATAAACGGATATATATAACAAGGTAGATAAGCGGATATATATAACAAGGTAGATAAACGGATATATAACAAGGTAGAATAACGGATATATATAACAAGGTAGATAACCGGATATATATAACAAGGAAGATAAACGGATATATAACAAGGAAGAATAACGGATATATATAACAAGGTAGATAACCGGATATATAACAAGGTAGATAAACGGATATATATATAACAAGGTAGATAAACGGATATATACCAAGGTAGATAAACGGATATATATAACAAGGAAGATAAACGGATATATATAACAAGGAAGATAAACGGATATATATAACAAGGTAGATACACGGATATATATAACAAGGTAGATAAACGGACATATATAACTAGGTAGATAAACGGATATATATAACAAGGTAGATAAACTGATATATAACAAGGTAGATAAACGGATATATATAACAAGGTAGATAAGCGGATATATATAACAAGGTAGATAAACGGATATATAACAAGGTCACTGTGAACTACTTATCAACTGTGTGACTAGTTTTTTAGTCGTCTTTTTATTATGGGCAGCTTTAGTGTTACACAAAACAACGAAACTATGAAGAAAGCTTTAAAAATTCAGTTTTGATTTTGTTAAAAAGATGCCATTTGTAATTTTGGTCACCCACTTTACCCCACTCATATCTCGGAATGTGGCCAAGCTGACCTTAAATTCATGTCATATCATGACGGCATAACGCCAAAGGTATGTACATGTTTATGTACAAAGACTAAAACTTATCGGTGATAGCCAACAGAAGGACCAATTGGCATCCCAGCTTTCTCAGACTTTCCTTTTACTGTTATTAACATACGCTCTTACTATTTTAGGCTATTAAATATCATCATTTTGTCAGAATCTTTTGAGGCTGTTTTTGTAACTGTTGATAGGGATTTAACAACTGTCAGGCTAACTTTTGGTACGTTACTGATCATTCACGTGTGCTAGCTGACATGCTTGGTTCGGTTAGATTTGTCAGCTTAGAGAGTGGGTACGTCTCTATAAAACGATAAAGGTCCCGGGACACATTCTTCCATCGCACGAGAAAAGATACATACGATATGTGGGACTTGTACAAATCTAGGGGTCGTGTATTATTGTAATTAAACTACGATCCGTAGAGCACAGGGACCTGCTAATTTGTTACAGCTATATTTGGACCTAAACTAAGGTGTTCATTTGGGATGTCAGTTTTACCAAAAGTCGATCTAAAACAAGTAAAATTACTCTGAACACCTTAGTTAAGGTCCAAATATAGCTGTAACATATTCCCAGGTCCTGTGCCCTAAAGCACACAAACCCCACATATACTAGAATGTAAAATTACGCGTGTCTGTCCCTTGTGTCTCTAATAACATGAGATATTTTATTCGATTATTTTTCTCTATGACTATATATATCTATTGGTTTATTTTGCATATTTAGATTTTTATTTTTCTTATTTACATTATATCTTTCTTCAGAAATTTATACGCTTTTTCCAGTAGGTTTTTCTCCTCTTTTCAAAATCGACAAATTTATGTCTTCATATTGTTAAAACAACGACATGGGATCAATAATTGCATAGTCATAAAATAAACTATTACGTGACATAAGGACTGACCTTAGCTACTCTAACTGAAAAATACCAGTTAGAGTGGGCTTATTTTCGGACAGGGACTTAGTGATGGTAAAAACTATAAAAAATAAAAAATAAAAACACCGCTTAACCTGCAATGCAATGATATCAATGAAGCACTGTTGATTCATTGTGCGTAGCTCTATTTCCCAATAAATATTTAAGAGTTAAGTTGAATATATTTTTCATGTTATGGAGCTATAACACAAACAACGGAGTGTACTCTAAATAAACCGCGAAGCGGTTTATGATGAGAGTACACTCCGTTTTTTGAGTTATAGCTCCATAACATGAAAAATATATTCAAGTCAATCCTTAAATTGTAATCTACTATACACAATCCCTGTGGAAATCAACTTTTATTGATGGACTCTTTTCTCTGAGAAATTATTACGCCGCTGTATCAGCCAATCAAAAGCGACGTTACACATGGCGACGTCATTTTTTTACGTTATGGGCTGATAACATAGATTTTTCAGCCAACGAAAATGCTTGTTACAAGCAAGATTAAATTATTACATTTATAACGTTAACAAATATCCGATTTCTGAGAGAAAGAACAAAAGGAGTGTCTAAGAAAAAGTCACCTCTTGTGAACAAATTGGAGTTTTGTTTGCTGCAAACGCATTTTCGTAAAATGCAACGTCATATGAAAAAGAGAGTTACTATGAGGGTAAACATACATGTAGTTCCAATTCATCAATAGTATAAAAAAAAATACAAACTGATAATAAAAGTGTTGTGTCTCCTTTACTTATGCGTGTTTTAGAAGCAATTTTCGCGTATTCCACTGAGAAAAGATGTATCACAAAAAATCTCAAAACAAATATAGGGTAATCATTTACAATTGAAATACGAAACATGTAACCAGTTATATATATATAGAAGACAAATGACACTGCATGGTGACTTTGCTGTGTTATCTCCTCGCTAGCACGTGTCTTATCGTTCCCTGACCTCGGACGCCCTTGAACCCAGTCCTGTTTCGTGTTGGGTTTTGGCATGCTACTATCCCCCATTCTTCCGGTAATGTTCTCCCTCCTGTCCATTCTCCTGGTTCTGGTTCCGACTGTCCAGGGGGCGGAATGGGACATTTATGATCTTGCAGACTCTTTGGGCTGTAAAGACTTCGTCGGTGCTCTACAAAACTCGGGACCAATGTACGTCCTATCGAACAACAACTCCGGTACGTCGGTGTGACATTGTCTCGAAAATTGGGTTATAACATATATGCTGTTTGACATTACAAAAACAACACCCACATTCTTTTTTTACATTATAAATTTACAGTTTCTACATATTTCTTAACAGCACAAATACGGTAAAACTTCGATATAATGTTGATTTCATTCGCTCCTCGTTTAACAACGACGTGTAGAGGACATCTTTGACTCGTTGGTTAGAAATGATTAGACATATATTAGGCAACGAAGGCCGCTTTCAACATTGTAGGGTGGAACCCCGACATATATTCCACCATAAAATACATAAATGAAATGTGGATGATATCTATTCTACTTTGTCGGAATGAAATCGATCGTGCCGCTCGTGCTGTTCTTTTTATGTACTAACATTTGTCACGTGATATCTTGTTTTCATTTCACCAACAAGTTGCACGCGGATGATGTCACATTTTTTTCGATGCACATGTCCCTATTCTGCCTGTTAAACTTAGATTATGACTGTTATACAATTAGATATATACATGCCAGACTAATGAATATACTCAACCACGGGTCCTTTTTTATCTAAACTGTAAAATATTAATGGTAAAATATCGCAAATATCGCAATAAGAAGGTTCAAAAAGAATGTTTTCTTTAAATTTAAATCATTGAAGTTATACGTGCAATAGCACGATGAAGAAACTCAACACGTAATTTCAAAATCAGGAGCAAGGTCAATGTCACTGAAAGCAACAACGACCGCACAATTTGGTCATCAGAACGATATTTCAAAATCAAGCTCTAGATCCGATAAAATAGGCACATATATGGTCAGCAAATGTGGATCTTTATATAAAAATCAAGCTAAGCATTTGATAAGACAATGAGTCGTTTAATAGATATACAACCATATACGAAGAATACCATGCAATATGGACATATGAAGTTTGTTTTTTCCAGGACCGTTCACTGTGTTCGCACCGACCGACGATGCTTTTAACAACCTTCCGGCCAACATCGCCGCCATCTTTAACTACGGTAATTGGGAATACATGCACGAGATTATCACGTTTCACATCGCTTACGGCAACCTGTCATTGGGTGATTTCCATAACGAGGCTAGGCTCCGCACGTGGCAGGGACAGGATCTTAGGGTCAACGTCTACTCCAACTCATCAGGTGGCGCTCCGGTCAGTTATTCAAACATTATTTTCTTTTTAAAAATAATCGAGAAGTGTGCTCGAGACCGGGGCCCTCATTCATGAAACCGTTCTCGTGCTCAAGCATGGATACTGTGCTCAAATCAGCTTTCTTGTAAATCACTTAGATCATATCAAAGAACCAAAAAGTCAAATGTAAACATTGGAAACAATATTTGGCTAAAAGTCTCTTCAAATCTTATTTTTTTCAAATCATTGACAAAATAATATTTTTTAAGTAATTATACCGAAGCAATTAAGAAATTAGGAACACAAAATCCATAATTGAGCATGAGAACGGTTTCGTGAATACAGGCCCGGTACTTCCGGGTGCGTCAATGTAACAGACGAGTGTACAGTGTAAGTGTTCGATATTGATAATGAAACAGACCAATTCGTCGAAAGGTACATTTAAATTTGTATACTGATTACAGATGGTGACGGCAGAGGGCGCAAGGATCGTTAAGTCTGCAGTAGCCACCAATGGGATCTTACACGTGGTGGACCGCGTGCTTTACAACTTCCCTCAGGTCTCGGCCGACCAATACGTCCACGAACAGTGGAACCTCACTACCTTGGACATGGTGGTCCAGATAGCCGGCCTACAAGACACTCTCAGGGGTAATATACGTGTGTTCAAGTTTGACGCACCAAGGAATCGTTGCTATCAAAGTCGGAAAGCTCTTTAAATAATACGCGTTGTTTCCCTTTTGAGTCTTTTTTGTAAGATTTTACTTGCAGGATTATACACATATCTCGGTTAAAACAGGATTAGAACACTAGCCCGTCTACTGAACGACGATAGCAGCAAACCGGTCCTTGGAAAGGTCTAAGAATCGCACATTAGCTGAATCTCATAAGTCGTTCCACTAGAGGATCGTCTATGGTAAATTATCACAGGAGTAGTTGAAGGCGTTAACGGTGGTTGTGAGATGTTAGACGGACAAATATGTGGTTCTTGATTACTTTGCGGATCGTGCTGACATATTTCTTCCTTCTTCATTGCTAACTTGGTGACTTGCTTTATAACCTGTTGTGCTTCAATGTTTCTCGTCACGGTTGTTAAGCACATATGCTATGTCGTCGATCTGGCTCTGTTATGCTGAATGGTCTTGTTGCTTTCCGGAATTTACACACTTTTCTCTTACATTTTAATGTGATCGATACTTGTGTATAGGCTGCATGGGGTTCTTCTCGGGTGTGATTCTACCCTCCTTTTTCGAGTAGATCGTAGTTCGGTAGCAAAGGAAACTCTCGCTATCCTTCAAGTTGTTACATCACAGCCGTCCTGACGTCTACTTTTTATCTTACATGATCCTTCGTGTCTCCGCTTGATCCTTACGTAGTCCAATCAGTTACGTTGGGTCTATTTTCTTTTGTCTGCCTGATTTATGACCTGGGTTTCTACTAGCGTTTGCTAAATGAAGTGCCGTTGAACAGGGATGCTTGTTTCTAGAAATAGTCTATTTATAACGAGATAGTAGATGATCGCCAGGAGGATGACCCTATTATCCTTCCACATGGCGTCATAATCCTCAAGCACATTCTTCTTTGAATGTTTGTGTGGTGTTCGTGATGGTGGCAGTCACTGTTATCCACGACGGGAGGCTTGCTGTCTGGGTGTATGGTAAACACTAGCCTCACGATGTCGTAACTTGGCTGTAACACTCTCTGTATGCCGTACAGGCAAAATGCTTAGTTGGAACTAAAAACTGCTCTTTTGCATAGGTTAACATCATGGTTGTGTCGGCAAAGTGGGCCGAAAGTCAAGGGACGTTCAACTGACTACTGAAGCATCTCTTATTAGTTTGTACATCTAAATGTCTGTCGTTCTATTTGATGTTGGTAGTTTCCAAGGTGATATTTAATTTTAAAATTGTGCGTAACGAGAACGTGGATTCTAAAACGAATAATTGAAGTTTGTCATCAATTTAAGATTATATAACAGAGAGGAGGGAGGGGGGGGGGGGGGGGGGGGGGGGGGGCAAGACTGTTACAACATACTTTGTCCGTCCGTAATGAAATACTGTTGGAGACAATATAACGCTGTTCTTCCTTGAAGAATGTAGTAGATGATCAATGATGATCAATTAGACATTTAATGATGGGTATTTTTCACCCCTGATTGTTATCAGTGTGTATTACGTACATGTACCTGATGAATCTATTTCTCCAGGAGACAACATGACACTCTTTGCCCCTAACAACTCCGTGTTTGGAAAGATAAAAGGGTTCGAGAACCATACCCTATCTAACGTCACACGGATCACAAGTAAGATTTGTTTGTAAAAATATTTTTTTTAACAGAAAATAATCACTTTTAGCATCAAGCACGTGGCTTTATGTGGGCTATAGAATTATTTAGAAATGTGATATTATTCACTGAGGCAAGGTAAATCAAATGAAAATGAGGCAATATTGGAACATTATGTGACAATTCGTCAGTATCATAGTACAGGCAATCATCACCCCTTAACGGTCCTGTACATGAACTGATGTTTCAGATTTGGTGAAGAATCACATGGTCAGTTCCACATTCTATTCCGCGAGTCTGACTGACGGAGCCGTACTGACCAACACGCTCGGACAACACATCGCGGTCAAGAATAACGGAAGTAAGTATGAGTGTCAACACCAGATGGTGCTAATGCAGATATTGTCTATGTTGGTACGTGTAATGTGATCGACTGGCGTCCCTTCTAACAGCCAGTGATTGCATGTTCATATTGTTCATACAAATATAGACATACGTCTCTGGTTATCTGGTTATCCTGTCTGGGAATTTCGGGTTACCAGAATATAAGATTATATAAAGACACGTGGCTCAAAACACGGGCGTAACAATACTAGGTATCGAAATACTTAATGGCCTGCATGCGAAATAGACACATGTATTCTTCACATTTGTTGCATAACTTATCTAATTGATATTAAGTATAAGCGTGTGAGAAAAACGACTAAAGAAGCCAGTGTATGACGATGTGTGAACAATATGTTGTTTACGATGTCCTTGAACTAGGTATCAAAACACTTATCTCTGCCATTCTGTTATCTTTTAGCCGCCATTACCTTAAACGGAGCCCCAGTGATACGGAGTGACGTCAGCGTTACCAATGGTGTAGTGTACATCATAGGAGATCTACTTTTCCCGGTCTAATCATCAGATTAGCACCGGATATCATTTTTTTCCAGCCAAAGCACCGGATATAAACTTTTTTGAACATGAAAACCAAATATGAACTTTTCCAAACCTGAGGACATGATGTGAAATGTTTTCAATCTGGGTCTGGGCACCGATTAAAAATTTTCATTATACCCCCTCAAAAAAAAAAAAAAAAAAAAAAAACTGTTCTTTGTAGGTGACTGTTTGTAACTTTATTAAATGTTATCTTTGATGGTGACAACAGGTTCTTGGTTGTTCGATATCTTCAATTCACTCAGAAAAATACTGAATAGGCTCAAAAATCGACTTCGAATGGTAATTAAACATAAGAGGTAATTATATCATTATATTGTTTGAAATATAGTGAATTTGTGCGAAGAAAGTATTAGTTAAACTATGTTTGTGTTTTCGAAGATGTTCAAAATCAGAAATGAAATGGCCAGTTAGTCAGTATCCTTGTAAAATGTTCAATTCTCATTCAAACATATCCTTTTCTCTTTTCCCTTGTTATAACACATGGGAGGATGTAAAACGGTTATTTGTGTCCGAAATAAGATTCCAAGTGATGTTTTGGCCACCGATGGAGTATCCTCGATACTCCATGGGTTACGCTCATTTATGCTTCCTATACCCTTGGAATATCTCATGACAAAAGTGAAGGCTGAGTGTGTGCCACCATGGTGAAAATACAAGTAGAATCGAAAGAATCTCGCGGAAGCGCAACGGTAAAGTTGACTGCCTTAGAAGTCGGATGTCGCTACTCTGCAATCTTCAAAGAACAGGTATAGGCCCAGCAAACGGTCAGGCTTTTGTTACCCGAGACCAGTCTATTAGCTAGCAGCGTGTTCTCGATTTCGTCATGACATGTATTCCAAGTGTGCATAGAGCGTGAGTGAGCGTAACCCCTGAAGTATCGAGGATGCCGATGGGGTATTTGTATCTCAAACTGAGCATTACAACTTAGTGGCTTGCGTTGTGTAGAGTAAATCACTCCACAAGGTCAATGATTTCGCTTGAACTCGTGAGGTAAAGTAGACTGTTTTCAGTATGTGTCTATGTTTTTTTTTATACATTTTCTTCCATTGTTTATGTCGTCAAAACAAACAATCGCCAAAATGCCGTGCCGAAACACAATCGTGCAAATGAGTGTTTTTATAATATTTTTTTCAACTTATCAAGTTTCTAGCTAATATGGATACACACTAAAACTGTTTTAATCGGTTGAACTTTTACAGAATATCTACGCAAATCAAAGACAAATTTCACGTTGCCAATGTTTTCCTTGTATTGGCTGTTATAAGACACATATGTACCTATAGCAAATCAGAAAAACAATAGGTGGGTACCAGTACCTGTGGACAAGCCTACAGCCATTCGTCTGATATGCTACTTTGTAGGTCAATGTCTTTTCTTTTTGACACATGTAAGACAACAATTTCTTCTTTAATAGACAGTTAAGGTAACCGTCTCCTTTTCATTGACATCTGTAAGATAGCCTTTCCCTATTAGACGAGTACATATAATACTCATGACATCAGCAGAAGTAGGAAGGACTTCAGTTTTCTGAAACAATGTTGAGTATAGTTTAACCAACTTCTCTCGCTGCAAAGATATAACCAGGGGCGGATCCAGGATTTCCTATAAGGCAGCACTCCGAGCGCGTAGCGCGAGTAGGGGGAGGGTACGGGATGGGGTCTTCCCCCTCCCGTAAGGGGGGTTTGGGGATATGTTTAGTCGATTATACATAATATTGTCAGCCGAAAAAAAACTTTATCGTTCTTGTATAATGATATGATTAATATCGCCCGGGCGGTAAGGAAGGTTACAATAAAAAGTTTAATTTTCAGATCATCTATAACGAGCGGTCAATAATATAATCGCCGAGCGTTGCAAGTTGCAACTTGGGGTTTCGCGGAGGTAGTAAAATAAAAAACACATTTTAGGGTCAAGATACAAAGTAGACGAGCGTAGCGATGCCAACAAATATTGTTTTAATAATGAAAATATAGTAAAAATATCAGATAACGGAAACCCACAATATTTCCTAGGATGCCGTATGGGATGTGTGGGGTGNGGGCCGGATGTGCCCCCCCCCCAATCCGCGCCTGATAACACAGCTGTAGAAAACAGATATGTATTCTGTGACGTAAGATCTCCCTCCATGACACCGTAAGGCCATGATCAGGAATAGGTCGTCTGTTTGGTAATGGAAAGGTTTTAATGTGCAATCCATTCAATGTAACTGACTGTTTTTTTCATAATCCATGGATAGACAATAGTGAATCAATATAGTTGATAAATCGGGCCTACGATCAAATCTGTACAATTTCAAAGTAAACATAATGTTCAGCCATTCAGTTTTTGGAGGAAACCCTCGAAGCTGAGTGAAATTGGCCATTTTCAGCAATAGTAACTTTGATTTAATATGAAAAAATTAGAGCGGCCATAAAATTGAAACGAAATGGAAAATAAAAGGATCCAAATTCAGTTTTGAAGGCCTCCAGGATTATCCCGGAATGTGTACTTCAAAGACTAGTGAACTCTAAAAAAATTCATTTCAGAGACTTGTTTGTCGCGGATTTAGGAAAAAAATCAAAATATGTGTCTTTGTTTCGTTATAATACGGTACAGACAGGAGGTAGAATAGTTTTACTCCAGTTCTCTTTGGGTGTGAGTAGGATACATCATAGTAGGATTCACAAATCTCAACTGTTTAAAATTCCAGCAACTTTTTTCAACAAATAACAAAGTTTTATTAGTTAAAATATGCAAATATATTAATATAGTAATAGAGAGAGTCCGTTCTCCTGGTTAAAACAGCACGTACTCTATCTTGTACATGTAAATTGTGGTTTAAAAGAATAAAATCTTGTCTTGTCTTGTCTAGTTCCGCACCCCCACCTTGTGTACACAAGATCATAGTCATGTGTACACACGTGTGTGTCGTTGTGTGTGTGTAAAGGACAGTACGGCTTATCTTCCCATGAACCAAACAATTTGGCGACATCTGCTGAGGTCATCAAAACCGGTACTGCAGGTAAGACAGCAGATCAGACAGGTAAGTCATGATTTTCTGGGCATTTCTATAGTGCGTATACCCGTCATACAACATAATATAGAAATCCTCAAATGTATCCTATTTATATTGTCACGTGAAGATTGATCAAACTTAAATTAGGTCACAAACTAGGTCACCAGTTATCATGAACCGTATATGCGACATCACACACATTATCATTTAATCTCCTTTAAATTTCTCTACCGCGTGGTGCTACCTTGTGCATTTTTATAGTATTTATACTTTGCAATATAATTCGGTAAGGTGATTTAACTGCACGTGCAGAATATTTAACATGTATACGTGTTTTTATGTTTTATCTTAAACTGATTATTATTTGTGATGTTGTTTAAATGAAAAAGAACACTGCACAGTGTTTCGTCTATAGTATACCTTTATAAAAAGAAACTTTGTAGTCTTTGAAGTCCGTACGTGGCATAACTTGCACAGTAAATTGACAGTTGTCTCTTTAGCGGTATATATAGCCATGTCTGATTGTAACACGAAGCTGTATTTGTTGTCAACTTAACATAGCCATTTGTATATTTTAATTATGTGCAAATATTAAAAACGAAAGAGGATCGTTTAGCTCGACAATATTGATGTTATAAACACCTACATGTCTAACATATTATCACGCTTGGCATCCCGACCATGCCTGTCGCCCCTCCATATTACATTTCACACCTCCATGTCCGTCGCCCTTCCTTATTTCATTTCACACCTCCATGTCCGTCGCCCCTCCTTATTTCATTTCACACCTCAATGTCCGTCACTCTTCCTTATTTCATTTAACACCTCAATGTCCGTCGCTTCTCCATATGTCATTTCACACCTCCATGTCCGTCGCCCCTCCATATATCATTTCACGCCTCCATGTCCGTCACCCTTCCTTATTTCATTTAACACCTCAATGTCCGTCGGCCCTCCATATTTCATTTCTCGCCTCCATGTCCGTCGCCCCTCCATATAACATTTCACGCCTCCATGTCCGTCACCCTCCCTTATTTCATTTAACACCTCAATGCCCGTCGCTTCTCCATATGTCATTTCACACCTCCAGGTCCGTCGCCCCTCCATATATCATTTCATGCCTCCATGTCCGTCACCCTTCCTTATTTCATTTAACACCCCAATGTCCGTCGACCCTCCATATGTCATTTCACTCCTCCATGTCCGTCACCCTTCCTTATCTCATTTAACACCTCAATGTCCGTCGGCCCTCCATATTTCATTTCACGCCTCCATGTCCGTCGACCCTCCATATGTCATTTCACGCCTCCATGTCCGTTACACCTCCTTATTTCATTTCACACCTGCATGTCCGTTACACCTCCTTATTTCATTTCACGCCTCCATGTCCGTCGCCCCTCCTTATTTCATTTCACGCCTCCATGTCCGTCGCCCCTCCATATTTCATTTCACACCTGTACGTCCGTTACACCTCCTTTATTTCATTTCACACGCCTCTCATCCCGATCATGTCAGTCGCCCCTCTTTTTATTCCATTTAACGCATCCATATCCGTCGCCCCTCCTTATTTTATTTCACGCCTCCATGTCCGTCGCCCCTCCTTATTTTATTTCACGCCATTTCACGCCTCCATGTCCGTCGCTCCTATATATTACATTCCTGAATGTCGTGTATCAAATACGTGTGATATTACCTAATTTGTTAAGTGTTGAATTTGCAAATAAGTCAAACACATTTCCTGGAGCACAGTCATGGAACGAACCATGTTTAAGCTAACAACATATACATCAAAATATGTATAATTGTAATTTAATCTAATCAAAAAGTCGCCTACGCATTTTTTTATGTTGAAATATGCCCTTAATAATGAACTATCTGATGAAAAAAACCTGATACACTATTTGCTACAGTATTTCATGTGTGTTGTAGAATAACTGCTGTATGCATACCATACATACATGTATAACTACATACTGTATGCCAGTGTACGATTGCCGAACGGAAATCAGTTTTATACCAACTAACAATGGCGTTGAATGTCATATTGCTTCAGACATATATTTATATAATTATATACATATCTATATCAAATATATACAAAAAATCACTACACCTTTCATGTGACCATATCATTTATTGTTGGTCTGAATTCCGCTGCCACTTCGTTCCGGTTCCGCTGCAAGTGCATTTTGATTTAATATGATACATTATTGACGCAGACTACAATTAGCCTCTATATCCATACAGCAGTACCTACAACAACATTTACATTATGATATACTTCAAGTGTCAGTTTTTTAAAACTAAAAATTAAAAGTTATATTTTCACGTTTACAGTACTCATCTAAACCAATTTCAAACTGTATAACATTAGATGAATCATTGACATCCCGTGGAAGACTGTTCCATATATATATCAACAACACGGAAAGTAAAGATTTTTTCCCCTTATATCAAGGTGACAGCCTAACTCAAGCCGGAGCTATAGGTAATCTATTCCAGCAGCTGTAGTTCATATCAGAGGGACGGCAATGGTTAAAGGGACCAAGAAATAACTTGAAGACACATCCTTTGAGTTTCATGTAACGAGTTATATGCCAGCCAGTATAGCGCCCGTGTTTTCTACATGATTTATTTAAAATATTAAATCTAGATCTATGTATTAAAAAATTATGAGGAAGTGATTGAATCATTTCGTTTATTTTTAAACCGTAAATAAACTTCAATGTTTTGTTTTTAATTTTCATTCATTTCCCCAAAAAAACTGTAGAGGTAACGATATAGATACGTGTGAGGAACAAGACGAACTCCCTTTCGGGTGCCTCACTTCCTGCCCCAAGGGAAGTTACTCTAAATCTCCAGCTTTTTAATATCCTGTCGCAAACTGGAACACATGCAGATAGATTAAAGATCAACTTTTGTCAATATGTAATTAGGTGTTTTGACAAGTACGTTTCCGGTCAAGGAAGTGTCTAATTTGTGACGGCCAGGTCTTGCAGACATCAGACATTATACCATGGTGTGTATCGAGGATTTTAGAGAGATTATAGTCAGTTGTACTTAATGCAAAATGAAAGTAGAAGAAATTTGAAACCCTGTCGGGGGTATTTCTTCGGTAGACGTGATCTGGTACGATCGCATGAAGAAATCAAATGAACATAATTTATGAAAAGTGGTAATACCTGTACTTCAAACAATTATACCAAATTATCAGGATAATTCATAAAGTGCATTATTACTTTGCAAAATTCAAACTGCTAGAATTTCTTTATCAATGGAAACCAATCATGTAGGGCAGATTACGACTATATATATACTAGATTACCGTCATGTCATCATTATCGAGATTTGAAGTATTTTATCACATTTTTCTCGACAAATGCATCTCCCTTATGATATTTACAAGTTTAAATGGGTTTTTTTCTCAGAATTGTGACTTTTGTTTAGCTTGGAAAATGAACATATAAAAAGTGAGTTTTTCATCAGTTAATGAATGTTCGTTTCTGAAAATTAGTGTGCATGTACCTCAATTATGTTTGAGAAATATTGGAGGATTATTATTTTGTGACAGGGATTGTTTAATGCTAACGGAATGCATTATTGAATTTGATATACAGTTTGGTGTGTCAGCCATATTGGAATGTCCTTAAGCCTCTCATACATTTGTATATTGCCAGCCGGATAGATATAGGACATCCTTTGGCTTGATGAACATTTTACTTGCATCACAATTTAGCTAGATGTAAGTTATTTAAAGTCATTGGATATTCTTTTCTCCTCAAAGCATTGACAATCATTCATACATAATGTATCTGATATGCTCTGTTTTCAGGCTTTTATGTACAGGAAATTGCATTCCGTCCTCCATCTACAGCGACACCAGATCACAGTCTTTACACTCCACCAACTCAGGATGGACAAAGCACCAGCTGCAGCAGCTGGGGTGACCCGGAATGCAAGTTCATTTTTACATGAACGTGCCTTTGTAGATGGGAAGTGGGTGTCTGCTGCCAGTGGGAAAACATTTCAAGGTATCTCAATTACTGATGGTTTAATAGAAGTGTAACCGTATCACAACACAAACCAATATTATTAAAAAGATTCAGTAGTTGTAAGATTAGATCATGATATTTTTTCAATATTACACTTAAAAATATTTAGTCAAAAGTAATTAACTACATGAATTTCCTTGAGTTTCATAGCTAAAAACACACGATATCATCTTCTTGCTTATTGCTTTATTTCAAAATAATTCAAAATTTCTTTCAGCTGTTAGTAATTGTTTTAAATTTATTGTTATCAGTTTTATAAAATAAAAATGTGTATCAATTAGAACATATAGTAACATATTATAGCCCCTCCTCTAGAGGCTCAGGGGTAGGAGTGAAGGAGTAAAAGCCAGATTGAGTCCTCTTGATCATTAGATGCTCTGGACCTTATACTTGCCTGGTTGGTCAAAATCCCTTCAGCTGTTCAGGATAACAAGGATTTTAAAAGAGGCTGATGTGAGACACCACACAATAAGTTCACCTGTATCATCTTTACTGGCAAACGGTTCTAAGCAAACATGTTTTTATTTTGTTCAAAGTGACGAATCCATCGACAGGTGGCTTGATTGGGAGTGTCCCTGATATGGATGCCAAGGACACAGAAAAAGCCATAGAAGTAGCCCACAAGGCATTTCAAACATGGAAGGAAACTACAGCCAAGGTCAGTGACTACATGACTATATATCTACCTTTATGCCTTATCACTGTAGGCTGAACTAGAAAACAGATACAAGAACTGTTTTCTTTAGAGGTTATATGGCTTGGTTTTGAGTATGGTGGCCTGATGGTTGGTCATTGACCTTTCCTCTGGAGGTAAAGTATACAATTTAAGTACAGAATTATGTTAAATGATCATTGACCAAACTTGTACATATATATTTAAAACCTTTTTCATTAACTACTTCATGTTTTCACTCCTATTTTGAATATTTAATACAGGTACCTGATTTTACTTCCAGTTTCAAGGTATAATCCTTGCATGTTTATTTTAAGGAAAGAAGCGGTATTCTTAGGAAATGGGCCGAACTATGCACACAGCATAAAGATGAACTGGCAAAGGTTCTCACAGCTGAAATGGTAAGATACCTACGGTATTCTAGTATTTAGTACTCAGTCTGTGATAACTTACATCTCATTGTAAACATACTCATGTCCATTTGAAATCTTCATTTATTTGTTACAACAATGTTTAATCATAACCTTGACATTGGAGTTAACCTGACCTTGACATGTTACATTGTACAATACATCTCCAGCACACATGCAGGCATACACACATAGGGAGATATTAGCCAGGTGGCATAGGACTAGTAGTTAGCGTCTGATAAGGCAGCTCCTGCGAATTCCTCAAAAATTGTAAATCCTAATTGTATTAATTGTAGTATATCTCGGCACTGTAAAGCGCTTTAGAGTGACTTATGTTAGCTACATTTAGATAGGGCGCTATATCAAATGTTGTATATTATTATTATTATTATTATTATTATGTGTAAAATAGGAATGTCCCTGACCTTGACGTTGTACTTATGTAGTACTACTGTATAAGGAATGGCATTTTACTTATAACCTTGACATTGTTCTTCTGTTATTTTGGAAGACCCTGGCCTTGACCTTGACATTGTTATTGTGTAATTTAGGGGAATCAATGACTTTGACATTCATTTCGTGTAATGTAAGAGCACTTGACCTTGACATTGTAATCGTGTAATGTTGGGGACAAGCTTGACCTTGACATTTTACTTAGGTAACCTACATTTTGTATGTAAAACATTGTTCTTGTGTAATGTAGGGGAAGCCCCTGGCAGAGGCTGCAGGGGAGGTGGCCTATGGAACGGCATTCATGGATTGGTTTGCGGAGGAGGCCCGCAGAGTGTACGGAGATATTATCCCGACTCCCGTCAAAACACGACGTCTCCTCGTCCTCAAACAACCATTAGGAGTGGCAGGGATGATCACACCGGTAACATAGTTATTTAATACATATGTGAATTTGGTCAAGCTTTGTTATTCATTTAAGATGTCTTTACCTTATAAATGAATAACTTATATAAGAACGTACTAAAGCACATATTTAATATCAATTGGAGACTTGCAAACAGACAATTCCTTTTTTACAATTTGCTGTAACAAAGTTTTTTTGCAGTGGAATTTTCCCAACGCAATGATCACTAGGAAGGCATGTGCAGCCATTGCCGCAGGCTGTACTGTGGTACTCAAGCCAGCTGAGGACACGCCCTACTCGGCCCTTGCCCTCTGTGAGGTATGCCTCTCTTTCGGGAATAAATATCATTCTTGTTGTACAAATCTTTTCATGCATAGATAACCCCGTATTTGAGACAACTCATATTTTGTACACAAGTACAACTGTACATGACCTTTTTACACTAAAACAATTGTATAAACCTACATGTGTGCATTTTGTAGATAAGTAACAATGGTATGAAAATGTGCGAAGTGTGTACAAAATTAACATTAGAAATGCATTGCATATGTAAACTGGTTATACAAGTATAACCTTAACTTTCTTCAAATTAATCAAAAATGCCTCTTTCAGAGAGTGAAGGTTCTATTCTATACATACCTGACCTTTGAGCACCTGTATGACCTTTTGTTATATTCATGTTTCCATAGCTAGCGTCCATGGCTGGACTACCCCCAGGTGTCCTCAATGTAGTAACCTCATCACGTGACCATGCTGCTGAGGTGGGAAAGACGCTGTGTAAAAGCCCGCTGGTGATGAAGATCTCATTTACTGGCTCCACACCAGTCGGCAAGGTATATTCATATCTTGCTCATCAGATTATTTTTTTTTAATAGGTATTAGGAATTGCTCTAATCAAATTTAAGTCACTTTTTTGTTTAAGAGCTTATATACTCATACAGAGAATCTGATATTTAAAAAATTATGAATAAATAATTTATGCTGTAAAGTTTATTCCTGCATAGATATATGAATTAAGCTATAATTTGGGTGTGTGGTGTTTTCTGTTCAGATTCTACTGGAGCAGTCGGCTTCTACTGTGAAGAAAGTTTCCCTAGAGCTAGGAGGAAATGCCCCTTACATTGTGTTTGACAGTGCTGATGTGGGTGCGGCTGTAAGGGGGCTGATGGGCTGTAAGTTCAGGTGTTCTGGACAGGTAAGTGATCACAGCAGTGTAAAAGTCAGATATGCTTCACTTAAAAAATGTCCTAATATCTGATGCCGTAGATAGCACTTACATATCATTCAAATTTTACTAGAGTGCGCACAGGCTAAATTGTATGTACACACAACAAATGTCATTGGACACAGTTTTCCTTGTATATGTATGCATATTAAGCAACAATGCAAAATCAACAATATAAAAATTAATTTTCTTTCTGAAAATCTCTCTCAAACATCTATGAACAAAATGAGGATACAATATGAATTGTAATGTCAGGGTACCTTAGTGTTTAATATTCTTAATACATATTTCAATTTGACCATTTTGACCAGAATAAGCTACATTTCCTATGAAAGTAAATATAATTGATGTATCCGCTGTATGTACAATGTATCTTTCAAATCTGTATGGGTAGTTATATAAGAATACTAGCAAACCTACGGGTATTTTAAATATGTATCCTTCAATTTTTGGGGGTAACTATAATATATGTGTCCTTAAAATCTAAATTATCTAAATGGAAAATTGTGTTATCCCTCTAAAGCAAAGTTTTATTTAGGTTTGTGTTTGTTCTTTTAATAGTTAAGGTGAAATAGGTATGATAATTTATTAAGCGTAAGTGCAATTTTCACCTGAGACTGAGGATGGATAATGGAAACAGATATACATTTTACTTGGCTTAAGTCTGACCTTGGTTTTCTTATCACCTGAATCGTTGCCTCGTCTAATTTATCAAAATATCATAAAATGTTATAAAAGTTATAAAATGAAGAAGTATTTGTTTTAATAAAAGTTTCTGTAAACTATTGACATTTACAATGAATCTGTCCAGACCTGTGTGTGTGCCAACAGGATCCTGGTGCAGGAGGGGATCTACGATGAGTTCGTACAGAAACTAGCGGAAACCATGGACAAGGAACTCAAAGTGGGAGACGGGTTTGAGGCTGGAACTACACAAGGCCCACTGATCAACAGCAAGGCTGTAGACAAGGTAAGGATCCAGATATGACCGGTTATATCACCTGGTTCTCTGATCAAGTATGGCTATAGGCCAGCGGCCACCAGTAACGACCTGTGTGTAGGATGGCGTACGTATTATTGCATACTTTGTTTTTACCAGTGATCATAAATTGATATTGAGCAATTTAGGTTTTGATTTTTTTTTTAAATCTTCAATTTAAATCACTCTTTCTTCAGTTTCCATTTTTTTTTCCATATGCAATAGTAATCAACACATTATCTTGGAAAATATAAGAATTTAAAATTAATTGGTATTTTCCTTTGATTTATTATACCTTTATCATATTGTCATATCTCTTATTATGAATTACTCCTTTTTATGTCAAGATCATTACTTTCAATCAAGAAGTTAGGCGACATTTTAAGAAACACTACCATGCTTCATATTTCTCAGGTCCAGGGCCACGTAGATGATGCGGTGAGTAAGGGCGCAACTGTAGTCAGGGGAGGTAAGAGGCTGGATGGAAACTTCTTCTCACCTACCTTGCTGTCTCATGTTACAAAGGAAATGAGGTGTGCATACGAGGAGACATTTGGACCTGTCGCTCCCATTTTGAAGTTAGTATATTTAAACATCATTGACATCTCTCGGCCTTGCTCATGCAATGGCTGATTATCACTGAATTGTTTTTTGAAATACTGATAAATTATCATGTTTTCCTTATACCATATTTATCCTGCAATAAGCTCAGGAGGCCGACACATATCCTCTGACTTCAAGTAGGGGGCGGGCCTATTACAGGACAGTAACTTAGTATTTCTACTGAAGTGCAATGTATATATGGGTGGGCTTATTTCCAGGCATGGGCTTATTGTTGGATAAAAAGTGATCTTTTTTTGCCAGGTTCCATATTTTTAAGATTAAGATACCTGAGCTTAACATTCAATTTGTTTTTTCATGTTTTAAATTATAAATGTTTCCCCCTGGTCAATTGACAAGCTTAGGTTATAATTATGACACATAAAGAACATGCGTACCAGGAAGCTTAAGGGAGACCACAATAAATAGCGTTATATTCTTTATAAATTGAAAATAATCTGTTTACAGATTTAAAACAGAGGAGGAAGCAGTTGCCATAGCGAATGTTACATCCTCAGGGTTGGCAGGTTTGTAATAATTATACTGTACACTGCTTATATTACAACCATAATTTGTATGTCATTACTCATTCAAGATCTGAGAACAACACAAAATTTGAAAGAATATGTAAAATGTAAAATCCATCAAATTAAATCCCAAGTGGAAGGAAGAATAGTTCAGAAGTGTATCAGATAATTAATCACTGTAAACTTGATCAAGGTGCAACAGTTAAAGTTAACTTCCACTGAATTAAACCACTTACAGTACATAATTTAACTGTTGTAGATGCCAATTGTGTTCCTGTTACAATGCCAGTTGATGTTCTGTATATATAAAAGCATGAAATTGTTCAGGGTCTTAGAACAATCAATAACCCTGAGGTTCTTGGGATTCCCTGTAAAGAATATACATATAGAAAAGATAGTGTGTAATGGCTCGTATCCAGACAATGTGCATGTTTCTGTTACATAAACGTACTGCTACAGTAAAATGTAATGCCATATTCCAATCCTGTCAATATGGCAACCAGACATTAGCAAATGCATTGAGGATGAGACATATCATTAGGAACTGGACTTTAATTAGCATGACAAAACTGCAAATGTATTGCAATGGTGACAGAAATTGATATATAACACAAGTTTATTTCTATCTCCCAGGGTACTTCTACTCCCAAAACCTCAGCCAGATCTGGCGTGTGGCTGAGCAGCTGGAGACAGGCCTAGTGGGGGTCAACGAAGGGGTGGTGTCCGTCCCCGAGGCCCCATTTGGGGGCTGGAAGGAATCTGGTCTCGGCAGCGAGGGCAGCAAATATGGTATTGATGAATACCTCCAACTTAAATATGTGTGTATGGGAGGAGTATAGGCTGTTGAACATTTCTAAATCAATCAAAACATGGCAGTGATGGCAGCAATGGTTTCATGAATATCTACAAATGAAATTAGTGTGCAATGGCAGAGAACATTGTATAAGCTGTCGGCTGTTGATACCTAGGAATATTTGTAAATCAAAATTTGTATGTTCATCTTTTAGTAAAATTCTGGTCAACGCCATAGTTAAAAATAATAACTAAATGTTTTAAAACAAAAACAAGAGCTTTTGACACCATTAGGCGTCTTTCACACATTGGCAGAGTCAAGAGTGTCATCCCTGAAGTACCTCGATCAGAGCAGTAACTATACAATGTGTTATACAATACAGAACTATGTATGCGAGAGTTGCCATGTTGTAACCCAATAAATAAGCTGTAATCCAGAAAGAAGAACTCGTCATACAAAAATTATTTTAAACAAATATGTGTATAAATGGACTTAGATTAGGGAATTAGCCAAACAGTAAACTATCTGAGAATAATGGGTTCTGTATCTATATTACTTGTCAATTGTGTGGTCTCCAGGAGCATCTAAATGTCAAACGTGTAGATGTATTATGGGTGTATGCAGTACAGTGCTGAGAGTCCGAGGTGTGTTTATAATTAACAGAAGGGCCAACTTAACTCATTCACCCCTGAAATTTCATAATGAACTATTCCAACGTCTGAATTGGACGACTTCAAATGTGTCTTCAGGGGTGAATGAGTTGAAGCCACCTTGATAAAAGTGCTTAATTACATAGACTGTTTGTATGGTGTTGTGGTAATCTATAAATTACAATTTGTTAAGTTTTATGATCCAGCAATAAAAATTGACTATATATTAAATCTGTTTGACATTGTTTATCATGCTTCAAATTCATGAACTTAGACTTAAGGTTATAATATATAAACTGTATTTATTTTACAGCAATTATGAAACAAGTTATTTCAATTTATATTAATCACTCTTGTTGGCCCGGATGTTGGCGCACGGGGGGGGGGGTCTTAGTGTTGGAGGAAACGGGAGTACCCAGAGAAAACCCACGTGGTCAGACAGGTGACCTTTAACCTTTTCACTTCCGATCGGGGAATTGAACCCAGGTCGCCTTGGTGAAAGGTAAGTGCGCTATCCACTGCACCACCTGATCATGTAACTAAAGGTTACATGTTACCTTACACAAGTAACATGTGTGATTTTTGTTAGTTATCTCCCTTACAAATGTAGGAATTTAAGGATGCTATTGATCTTAATTCCATGAATTCTATACCATTCAACAAAGACAGTAAATTAGCATATGTATCGTATCGCTTAACATTCCTCATCAGATGAGTCGTTAACTGAATCGTGGTAACCCTTAAATCTGCATCCTCGTTCAACGCCTGATCACTTCATCAAGTCATTTGATAAAAAAAATCATTTTCAGAAATATCTGAAATATTATAATTATTTTATGATTTTTTGCTATTAAGGTTAATAGGATTGTGTCGCCATTTCTCAGTAGAATTTATTCAAATTTTGTAGTTATATTGCTTTGAAATAAAGAAAACTTTCTGCTACAAAAAAAAATATAGGATGTCAGAACTTTAAGGATTTTAAATGGATATTTATGTAAAAAGGATTGAATTTTGAAAAAAGACTTGAAACACACATTTCTTTTTGCAAAATAATGTCAATAAAAATGATACTAACATAGATTAGTATTGCATTAATGTATTTTAATTTCATAAATGCTGAAATTGTGTAAAATTAATCATCTATAAACGATTAAAAATTGACATTTTATAATAAAACCATATACACATAGTAACTACATGCAATGAGTTATCGTTCTTAGAAAACTTCACAGTAGTGAACTAGATAGCCGGTTTCCTGAAGTAAGGAACAACGGACGAATGTGACTCATTAATTAAAAAACAACTGAATTAATGCCTGGATTGCTTTGCAATACTTTAATATTGAAAGAACACACTGTTCTGTCAATAATAAGCATACAATATTCATCAGTTTAATATTAAACATTAGAATATGCGGAAATTGTGATACTGTCTCCCTACATTGGATTTTCAGCTAGGGATGTACTTCCTACTTCCGTTTCGCAATACACTCCTATGACTTTAAGGTCCAATGAGTGTATTGATAAACGGAAATAGGAAGTACATCCCTAGTTGAAAATCCAATGTAGGGAGACAGTATCACAATTTCCGCATATTCTATGGAGTTGTGATGAATATTGTATGTTTATTATTATTGACAGAACAGTGTGTTCTTTCAATATTTAAGTATTTCAAAGCAATCCAGGCATTAATTCAGTGGGTTTTTTTTATCAATGTGTCACATGTGCCCATGTTTCTGTACTTCAGGAAACCGGCTACCTATTTCACTACTGTTAAGTTTTTCAAGAAAGATAACTCTTACATGCAATTACTATGTGTATATGGTTTTATTATAAAATGTCAATTTTTAATCGTTTATAGATTATTTATTTTAAACAATTTCAGCATTTATTAAATTGATTAATGCAATACTAATCTATGGCAGTATCATTTTTATTGACTAAAATTGTCTTCCATCTTTTTTTCAAAATTCACTTCTTTTCCATAAATTTTCATTTAAGATCCTTAAAATTCTGACAACCTATATTTTTTTTTGTGGCAGAAATTGTCTTTACTTCATAGCAATATAACTACAAAATTTCAAGAATTTTTACTGAGAAATGGTGATACAAACCAATTACCTTAAATGCTATCATTTGTTAATGCTTATACACAAAGTTTTAATTCTGATATTTTTAATATACTACATACTGTATATAAAAGATTTGCTTTAACCAGCCCGTATGGTTCCCCCATGACACTGCCAAAAACTGTAACTATGCATTTGAAACTGATTTTTGATTTTCAGGCATGACTAAGGGCTTTGATAAATAATTTCTGAAAAGAAAACTATACCCTGCAAGACAGGAACAAAAGATAACTATCGTTAGTTTTCAGAGTGTAAAAATTCTGCGAGGCTAGACCTAGATTCCAACTCTAGACCTCAAATTGTTATATATTGAGCTATCTGGTCAACAAAAGTCCACTGCCCCAATGGCACTGCAGTTGTTTCAAAAACCGAATGAATGGAAGGTTACAATATACCCGTATGAAGAAAACGTAGTGAAATGTTTAGTGTTTTACCTGCAGTGGGACAACTTTTTCAAACAACTGCAGTGCCTTGCAAGGCCTGCATATACTTTTGCAGGTCTGCCAGGATTTATATCCTTAACTTAACCCTACTTTGAACACCTGGGCCTTTTTCGTTCATCGCGATCCAAACGGGTGAACCGGGTGGACCGGAGTTGTTCATTTATGAAATAAGTTCGGACCTAGTTATCTGATGCTGCTTTCAGGCAAGCCTTAAGCTTGCAAGGCCTGCATATACTTTTGCAGGTCTGCCAGGATTTATACCCGAAAATGTCACATTTAAAAACGACGTATTAGTTGTTCTGCATAAACGAACAGGCCCTTGAAACGTTTCTGAAAGTAAATGTTTAATTACTGTAAATTCCTAAGGTGTGTATAAAAATCAAACTAAATCTGACAATTACTAAATAAATTATGTCCAATTCTAAAAATCACCCCAAAAAAGTTTTCTGCCCAAGAAATGGAGCCAAGCATTTCAAATCTGTTTCTGACCTGCAACACAAATGGAGCCAAGCATTTCAAATCTCTGTTTCTGACCCGCAATACAAATGGAGCCAAGCATTTCAAATCTGTTTCTGACCCGCAACGAGTTGTACACCGCATTGCCTATTGAGCCAAGAACAAAAATTTAACATTAGCTGGCCAAAACCACAAAAATTACCCCAAAAATTGATATGGTCATTTGAGCAAGAAACCCGTATTATATGTTGAAGTACTGTGTAAGCTGAAGGCGTGTATAAAATTGGACACAAATCTGACAATTATTAAAGAAGTTATGTCCAATTCTCAAAATCACCCAAAATTCTATGTTTTCTGCCAAAACAATTGTTGTGGTCATCTCAGCAAAAAAAACCTGTATTATATGTTTAAGTACTGTGTAAGCTGAAGGTGTGTATAAAATTGGAAGCAAATCTGACAATTATTAAAGAAGTTATGTCTAATTCTCAAAATCACCCAAAATTCTATGTTTTCTGCCAAAACAATTGTTGTGGTCATCTCAGCAAAAAAAACATATTACATATTGAAGTACTGTGTTTACTGAAGGTGTGTATGAAATTTGAAGTTAATCTAACAATTATTAAAGAAGTTATGTCCAATTCTCAAACTCACTCAAAATTCTATGTTTTCTGCCAAAGTATGTGAAAAAATGAAAAAAATGACGCCGTCGCCGGAACAGCAAAACCTTAGTCTCGCTTTCGCCCCTCTGTCGCGGCAAGACAATTTCAGTAGCTAAACATAATTGTTGTGTAACCCCAGGTGGACCTTTCTTGAGAATCCAAAAATAATGAGGTTCTATTGTTATGAGAACAGATAACACAACTACTCTTCTATATATTCAATATTTTTATTGTTTTCGTTTTCTCATGACAATTATTAGAAAATCTTTAATCCAGACATGATCTATGTACCAGTCTGGCATGAACACACATCACCATTTCTGTACAGGGTGATTTCATCATTACACAGTTCATTGGGCGAACATGATTCTACTTACACAAGACATACCACTACCTACAAAATGTAGCTACATATACAGAGGGTAAATATCGGTACACATGTCAGGCCTCAGCCTCATCAGCCGTACAGCATTACAGATTACAATGTACCACAGCCTCGGTCAGCAGTGGTCAAGGATTCAGGATGATGTGATTCACCAGGATTTATTTTAATATTTAAAGCCATGATTGTGATTTTAACTGAATTTGTGTTTCTGCACTGCAGTCATTTTGAAAACAAGGATAAATTCACACCATCCATCCGCCCAACAAAAACCCAAGTTCAAAACGAAAATTATGAAAAGTTCTGATGCCTTAAAAAATAATTATTCCTATTAGGTTACAAGGATTCAAAACCATGGCAACTACCAGAATTCTGCACTCGGCCATCCTTAGGTGCAAAACAAGGATAACATTTCCAATTTCTACTCATCCTTATTATATTACACATGAAATTCAAAACAGAAAATCTGCAAATATTGTGTTATAACAGCTGAAGAGACATTTGATAAGTGGCCAGGTAAGGATAGGTTGACAGAAGTAACATGTAAACTTGAAGAGGACGACAGAAGAGAGGATCAACACCCGTGCACACTTTTCTGTTGGCAAATTCTACCAATTGTAGGCTAACATGTGCATGTAGGACAGTTTCGAACTCAATCAAAATGATAAATGTACATACTCAAAGTATTCATAAATGAAAATTAATAAGAGCAGGATTGTAAAACATACAAAATAATTCACTTGTTTACATATACAGTTATACACTCATCCAAAACCATTTTTGCATCTCTGTGAAATGATTTATGTAATAATATATGAACTTACGATTCACACTGGCACATCAACAATATATTGGACACAATGTTAGATATAAATCACCCCCTGCCACAAGGTCGTAAGCTGATGATGCAGTGATGAAAGGGAGGTAACCTTACAACTGGGATATGGTGATTAGGCGAGGTATATATCACAATTATGTAAATTTACTTACATAATACAAACTTTTGTATCCTTTGCATATGAATAAAGTTTTTATAACATTGAGAACAGATTAATAAGTATATAATGACCCACCTGTATTTCATTTCTCAATAGGAAGTAGGACTTCATGTTGATACAATTTTGCCAAAAGAATAAGATTATGTTATCAATCAATGGTAATATAATTCTGCTTTAGGTTAATGGGAGCAAAGTGTGATTAGATTGGATATTAACAGAAAGATAAGTGAATTTGAAAACAAATAACAAAATAAAATTATATTCAATGTTTCATGTTTGATTGCAGTCTGTTAGTGATGGTAAAATAACATACAGCTAGTTGAAACCATCTTACACTTGATGTATATTATGATGTCTCTTCTACAGTTCTGTAATCCCACATCAAAATAGTTCATAATTTCATAAAGATGGAACCCCACACCAATGGGTTCATATCAAATGTCGAGTTTATGCTTTTGTGTCCTTTAAGTAGTACTGATCAAGATTTCACATTTAAAGACATCCTGATTGACATCATAATCAGATCTAGATGACCATGCAGGTGTTGCAGCCCTTCTTCTGAAAACACTGCTAGCAAAAAAAATAACTTGATGTAAGATACATCTGACCAGTAAAACACTACAATTAATAGAAAGTATATCTTAGCATTTTGATCTTGATCTAGACAAAACAAGCTTAGATCTTATATGTATATCCAATTAGTAAATAGATATTTCAGTATTGATGTTCCAACTGATGGCAAATAATAACTACCCCAAAAAAGTGTGACAGTAAAAACTACTTGCAAACTTTCCCCTGTAATATACAAAGTATGTTTGCCCTTGAATGTTACTTCCATACCTGCTTGTGACATACTGGTATCATAAATAACTTACATTTCACAAGATGTATGAGTTTCAGTATTAATTCCCCAAGGAGAATTGTCCCCTAATTTAAATATCTCTGATTTGCCTAAATCTTTTAAGGAATGATACTAAAACAAAACAAAGTCTTTTCAATGTTCCCTAAAATTACCACTTTCATAGAATTAAATATCGGCAGACATGTCTCAATAAATGTGTGTTCTGACGAAAACCATTGGAGGGCTTCAACTACAAAACATTGACCAATCCATTACTGTACCGGTAAAAGTTGATGGGAAGAAGCTAGCATCATGACAAATTTTCTACCCTAGTGATAATTCGTTTTTTTTTTCAAAGGTGAAAGGCGACAAAATTTCTTTTTTGTAGAGTACTGTCACTGTTCAATCCTCCATATACTTTATTGAAGGCCATGTTCAGACAATCACACAACTAGGGTCTTCACGTATGAAAACTATATACCATCACACCTCCAAAATATCTTTCAACTCAGAATTTAAGTCTGTTTCGATGTGGATGATATTTTAGTGTAGCAGTTCACTGTGTGACTGCAGCAAGTCACCATGTAATCATTACAATAGGATTTAATTATAAATATCAAGTAAAACTAGTACTGGCCAGATCCTGTCCTTATTTCAACATCAATTAATGTTTACAAAATATTACTGAACAAATCACGTCCGTCAAAAGGTCCAAAATCACAGATTTGATGAACCTATGTTGTAGCGACAGCTCAATTCTTATCTATGATATAGGATAAAAAGTTGTAAAACTACATCAAAATTGTATAGTTCTATCAGATTGCAAGGGAAAAAATACATTGGAAAATATATATACTTAAAATTGTAATTGATGACTAATTACACTAACAAACCTTCAATAATAAGACTCTGTAGTTACTTAAGGATGTGCATAAACTGTAAGTGTATTATGCCTGTCATCTTAATTTCAAAATTAAAAATAAATGGATGTCCACGTGTATCACATATTCCAAATGTTTTACCAACTTATTCAGACACGGAAACTATTGCAATAGACTTTTGCAATAGTTTGCCGAGTGACTAGTACATTGGGGTATGCATCACACGAAACATATCTTCTCAGACTGGATACAAAATTCTCACACAGGACGAGTTGCAACAAGGAGTACACACATAAAATACATAACATCATTCTTCCAATACAAATGTCATATGCTGATATCTTGCATTACTTAGCTTACACCACACAATGTTGCTGTAAACTTTGCATTGTTAACTGGTCAGTGACCATTCTGTTTGTCTTCTAATCGTCATCATCAATACAGATAACATCCACCACCTCGGTATCATTGTTTTTACCGGTCACCTCCATTTTATGGACAGAGGTTTTAACAGGCTCTGGCCTGGGTCCCCTCACCATCCTTGGGGGTCCCTGTCGGACATTAGCACTGTTTATTATCTGTGGTCTGATCCCCGGTGGTCTGATCCCCGGTGGTCTAGACAGTTGGGGTCTAGGCCCAGCGGGAGCCAGTAGGCCACCCTGGTACCGGATGGTGGTATAGTTTGAGTTGTCCCTGACTTGCTCTGACTGAGAGTCCTGAAGGCTGTATACAGAGCTTATTCTTAAACCAGGACCGGGACTGGGTGACTTTATCACAAGACCCTGCCCTACACCGCCAAACTCTGATACACGAGTTCCTCCAACTGCCACGGGGCGCTGCTGAAGCTCCTTACATGTGCGAGCCCCTGGAGGGGAGGAATGAATACTAAATCCCTTGGGATTAGATGTTGGGATGTGCACATATGGGTGTGGTCTGCTAAGGGTGGTGCTATTCTGTAGTCCACTACCAGAGGGACGAGGCTGGAATGACCCAGATGGTTTGAACACCTTAGACAGTATATTAGCTCTATGGATTGCTTTGATGGGTTTTCGGACTTCTTGCTTGATAGGTTCCTTTTCCTCATCAGATGAAGACAAGTCTATAATCTCTACCTCATTATTTGATCGTTCAAGTCGTTCACTCACAAAATTTTGCTTCCTGCGACTGGCTGCAGCCGCAGCCTGGGACCTGTAGACTGGACGATACGCAGAGTTCTGGTCATGCACCATTCTCATGGTCTCTGAACCATCCGCATTCTTCACAACCTGGGTGACCATGTATGACCTTGGGATAGGGGTCATCTTTGAAAGTGAGGCTAGACTTTGGTTCATGTGACGGATCTTGGCAGACAAGGGTCCACACAGAGGCTTCCCAATGGCCCTCTGTATAACTTCATTGCTGAATTGTCTGGCATTTGAAGAAGTCCTTGAAAACACGGCCTGAGCATATCGGGCCTGCTGGTAGTAGTTGGGCATGAGTGGCCTGGGTTTAGGCCTCAACCACTCTTTGACTTCAGCAGGGTCCATGTGCTCCAACTCAACCTTACACGGCTCCATCTGACTAAGAAGTTTCCGACTTTTTCTATTTAGACCAGTCTTTTGTGTTATCATAAACTCACGTCTCTGTGAACTAGAGAACTTCATTCTATGATGATACTGAGCATGTTTCCTTTTCTTCTTAAATGTACATGGATACGCAGATTCTCTCTGTCTTAATTTTTCAAAAAAGTTATTTTTGTCATACCCCCTACAGTAAATGTCTGCCTTACTTATGATAGGAATAGTGTTGTCAATCTTAAGTTGTTTTTTTACCCTGTGTCCAAGAGGGGAGGAGAGATCAATGTTAAGAAGTAAGGAGCAGATGGCGGGAGCAGGTTTGGTTTCCTTCGTTGTTGACTCTCCACCACTGTCGGAATCACTCACAAGTCCAGAGAAGCTGAGCTGGCGCTTCCTGTGACTTCCCTCCGCGTCCCGACTCAGCTGCGACATTAGAGACTTTGGAGTGCGAGGAGTTACCGGTGTAGTTACCATCTCTACATCAATAATTTCACAGTCACTGTCTACATGTTCCTCTTTGACCACCGGGGCACTGTCGTCTCGTGGTTTCTCCCCTAGGTCCAATAGTTTTATAAACACATCCTTGGGCGGAGGGATATAAATCTCCCTAAAACGTCTCCTCCTCCTCTGCACCAAACGAGTAGGAATGACACGTGATCGGCCCATACGTTTAGGCTGGGCTATTTGGATAGTCTGTGCTGATATAATTGTGGGGACTGCCTGAAATGGCAGAGTATTTGGGACGAACTGTGTGGGTAACACTTTAGAGACCGTCTCTTTTTCTGCCTCTGCCTCCTCCTCCTCATTCTCACATTTGTCTTGGTGAACCATAAGGTCAGACTGGTTGGTGAATTGCTTGGCACAAAGGAAACACACCCAGATAGGGTTGTTAGCCTGGGTAGGACTTTCCTCCTGTGGCGGGCCTGAAACATACAACCAGTGTAAGCTGACCAGATGCTGATTATAGTCTATATCACTTGACCCAGTTTCTGATATTGCGGATAAAATCTTCACCTGATTTTACTGAATCATCAAAGAAAAGCATGAACAAATCTAATTCAAATCACTTTTAATGAAAATGTTTTCACCATTATAGAAATCAGTTGGAAAATTTCATTCTAGTCTCAACAATTGAGAAACATATTTTTTGTGTCTACCTTAAATTATTTTTTGACAACTTTCAAGGAAGCACAGTTAAAAGTCAAGATTACTCTCCTTTTACATGTACCTCATAAAAACAAGAANCCCCCCCCCCCTAAGCATGCTTCAGACCACATTTGGTTTAAATCCCTTCTATTTCCCCTATTGGGCCCCACTCCTCAACCCCTGGAGGGGGGGGGGGCACATCTTCCATTTATAAATGTTAAATTTCCCTTGCCCGAAGATTCTCTAGAACAAGTCTCCTCTATTTCCCCTAATGCCCCATCCCCCATCTGCCATAAAGAAGGGGACCCACATGCCTCAGTTTATACAAAATCTATTCTTTCGTCCCTAGGCATGCTTCAGACTGCATTTGGTTTAAATCCCTTCACTTGTATAGTAGGAGAAAAAAAATCCTCTATTTCCCCAATTGGGCCCCACCTCTCTGCCCTCAGAGGGGCCACACCCTCCATTTATACAAACTTGAGGCTCCTTTATCCATAGATGCTCTAGACCAAATTTGGTCAAAATCCTTCAATTAGTTGAGAAGAAGATTTTTTTTACAGATTTACATATTTTCCCCCTCTTTTTCCCCCCCAGGGGGCCATACCCCCTGTTTATACAAAACTGAGAACCCTTTGGCCAATGATGCTCCAGACCAAATTTGGACAAAATTATCTGAGCCGTTAAGGACAAGTAGCGTTTTAAAGGAAAAAGTTGACGGACACCGGACGACGGACGCTGCGCCATGGGATAAGCTTAAGCTCACTTGACCCTTCGGGCCAGGTGAGCTAAAATTAAATAAATTTATAACCTAGCTACCTACCCTAATTTTTCCGACATGTAACAGGAAACAACAATTTTGTTTGGCCTGATTTTAGTAATTGGACAGAGGAAACATAACAATGATTAAACATTGAAGGATTGAATCTTACTTTTGTCAATTTCATGAGGTGATGAATGGAGTTGGTCTTGATATATATTCAATATGAACTGCAGTTCATTAAATTTGTCTCAAGACTAACTCAAATGTATTTTCTTGTCTAGTAAGTTAGAGACACGTTTGTGAACATAAGCTTTACCAGTCTAATTAAGTGGACAGATCTTGAAGTCATTATTGTGTAACATATAAAGAGTTTCACTGGTTGTGATATATGACCCTGTATACATATTATATAGAGACGTGACAGGGACTGAAGGAATCGTTAAGTGAAATTAAGTATTCAACTATCACATCAGAGTTCAACACAAGAGGCCCATGGGCCTTAACGGTCACCTGACATCGGATTCAAATTAGGACTGTCATCCAGGGGCCAATTCATACTTTTCGTCAGTCTGAGTGACCTTGCTGCATCGTTTATTATTTTTTCCTTGTGAACACAATAACTTAAGTAAATATGAACCGATTTTGATGAAACTTTGTATGAAGCTTTGTATCAATGAGATCTTGGATAAGTTTGAATACCGGACCAATTTGACCATAACTTACATAGTTATTCCCCTTGGTAATTCTATTATTGTTGGATCCTGTGAACACGATAACTGAAATAAATGGGTGTGACTCCAATTTTGACCCAAGGGGTGTGTTTTGAACAAACTTGGTAACTGTATGTCTTCTGTTCTTGGTTAAAAGAAACAAGTAAAGGGGTAAATCAATGATTTATTAAATAAGGCACAAAATTTTAATAGCACCTTGTTAGTAGCAAAAATGCGTCATGAATGAAAAAAAAGGTGTACCACATGAATTTACATCTATTCTTGTGTAATGTCAATCAACATCACGTCCAGTTTAGAAGTGAAATTCTTAAGACTAGAAAATGTCTGTAAGACATACATGACCCCCCACCCCCACCCTGCTTGATTAAATTTACTGTGTTTTTTCGATCTTCACAATTATGCAAAACAACACGACACTAAATTCCCTTTGGTCAGTTGATTCTTTGTTATTCATCACCGAAAAGATATGAAGTTTGACCTTTTACTCGGTGACTGACATTTGTCGAGTCAACTCTTTGTTTAATTCTGACCAACTTTTGCTTCATGTCATAAAATGTTCATTATTGAAGAAATGCAAAATCTGATGCTCAGAACTAAGAATTCATCAGTAAAATGATATAAAGTTTGACCAAGACTTTTTACTAAGTGACCTTGAACTTTGGTGAGTCGACTCCTTGTATAATTCTCATCAACTTTGCTTCATGTCATAACAAAATTTTCGCCAATCACCAGTGAAAAGATGCAAAATTTGATGGCCCGATTTATTTTTAGTAACAGTAACCTTGACCTTAGAATATTTTCAACCTCTATTGCACATCTGCACATCTGCACATGACAGTGTATCACCATGTTAAGTTTCATAAAGTTGTGATTTTGGTGTCCGAGATATTCTCCGGAAAAGAAAGTGCTGACAGACAAACACTGTGTGATTACTATAGGGAATCCGCACTAATGTGCGAGGACCTAATAACATGAAGACCATTACTGAAAAATCAATTCATATGCTTTAAAATTGATAATGAATCGGTTGATTTTCTATATCTAAAAAGTGACTTTGACCTAGGGACGCACACAAAGTTTCATCAATCTTGGTAAACACTTTGTTAAGTTATCATCTTCACAGTGACAAATAATAATATAATGACAATAACTCTGCAGGTTACCGTCAAATAATTACTGTTGTCAACTTGTCCGAGATCTTTTAGATGTTACACTGCGGACAAAGTTTCATTGAACTCCGTCAACATTTATTCAAGTTATCGTGTTTACAAGGTCCAATAATAATATTATTACAAAGAGCAATAACTCTGTAAGTTACTGTCGAATAATTCCCATTTTCCAACTCATCCGAGATCTTATTGATAAAAGGCTGCATACAAAGTTTCATCAAACTTGGTTGATAATTGTTTAAGTTATTGTGTTCACAAGGTCCTATAATAATATTATTACAAAGGGCAATAACTCTGTAAGTTAGTGTCGAATAATTCCCATTTTCGAACTCGTCCAAGATCCTATTGATATATGGCTGCATACAAAGTTTCATCAAACTCTGTTAACATTTACAGAAGTTCTCTGTCACAAGGTCCAATAATAATAATATTACAAAGGGCTATAACTCTGTAAGTTATTGTCGAATAATTCCCATTTTTGAACTCGTCCAAGATCTTATTGATCTTATTGATATATGGCTGCATACAAAGTTTCATCGAACTCGGTTAACATTTACTCTGGTTATCGTGTTCACAAGGTCCAATAATAATAATATTACAAAGGGCAATTACTTACAGAGTTATTGTCGAATAATTCCCATTTTCGAACTCGTCTGAGATCTTATTGATATATGGCTGTCTACAAAGTTTCATCAAACTCGGTTAACATTTACTTAAGTTATCGTGTTCACAAGGTCCAATAATAATAATATTACAAAGGGCAATAACTTACAGAGTTACTGTCAAATAATTCCCATTTTCGAACTCGTCCGAGATCTTATTGATATATGGCTGCATACAAAGTTTCATCAAACTCGGTTAACATTTACTGAAGTTATCGTGTTCACAAGGAAAAGTTAACGCACGATGGACGATGACGGACAAAAGACTATTACAATAGGTTACCATGACCAGGTAACCTAACAAGCAGGTTTTATTGTAATTAGATAGCTTCAAATACTGAGCATATTACTGGCAGGGAGTTAAGTAATCATAATTAACAGGACCTTAATCAGTAATTTGTTTTTCAACATGTAATTGTAGATATTGACAAGCAGAAAAAAAGATGTTTACATAATAAATAGCACTATATAAAGTGTACTTCTTAACTTGATCAGATCTATATATTTATACTGTAATGTATGCACGAAAAAAAAATTGCCTTGTGAAATGTTCTCTTTTCACTGGTAAATTCATATTCAGTGTTCATTTCAATGTTCACATAGGAATGAAGGTGTTAAAATTAACTATCAGGATTTGTTGTGAACTGGCCATCATTAAGTCAGAGCCTGGCAAATATATCCCAGCATCAAGCCAGACAATATGCTTCATAGTTACCTTGTGTGACTGTGGGTTTAGGATTTTCCTGAGAACAAACAGCATTCTGGTTTCCATCATGCTCGAACTGAAACAAATCAAATACTGTAGTAAACTTTTTTATTTGTTTATCATCATACTATCAAGCTATGCTGTGAATACACTTATGACATTTGTTCTCCCTCTGAACATACACAACCACATTTGGGCAACAGGAAAGTTCCGACCCTCAATATATCATCACTCGGATAACAGGAGGTTTTGAAACTTAACATACTGATAGCTGTATAACATACTCACCAACACTCGTTGACAGGAGGTTTCTATATAACATACTCACCAACACTCGGGAGACAGGCGGTTTCTATATAACATACTCACCAACACTCGGGAGACATGAGGTTTCTATATAACAAACTCACCAACACTCGGGTGATAGGAGGTTTCTATATAACAAACTCACCAACACTTGGGTGACAAAAGGTTTCTATATAACATACTCACCAACACTCGGGTGACAGGAGGTTTCTATATAACATACTCACCAACATTCGGGAGACATGAGGTTTTTATATAACAAACTCACCAACACTCGGGTGATAGGAGGTTTCTATATAACATACTCACCAACACTCGGGTGATAGGAGGTTTCTATAAAACATATTCACCAACACTCGGGTGACAGGAAGTTTCTATATAACATACTCACCAACACTCGGGTGATAGGAGGTTTCTATATAACATACTCACCAACACTCGGGTGACAGGAGGTTTCTATATAACATACTCACCAACACTCGGGTGACAGGAAGTTTCTGAGAGGTTCCCTTGTTTTCCTGTGGAAGACTTGCAGCACTTAGTAGATTCTCCTGGTCTAAATGTTTGTAACAACTTGTGACTATTTTCCGCAGCATCTCTAGTTTTAGCTGTAAAAAGATGATTTTTTTAGTAGATCAATTGATATTTCTTTATCAAATTACACACATACAATGTATACCTACATACATATACAAAATATACATGTACAGTCAGGCCTTATTTTGCCTCCACAATTATATAGATTGCTATTGCTACCTTGTTTGGTATGGGGGCCTTGCATGTTCCAAGGAAACCTGGGAGCTATATTGGAAAGGTTCAAGCACATCAGACTGTTCGAGGGGAAGGGATCAGGCCGACAAAGGCAATCCACCTATCACCTTTATCATATACAATGTTATTATCAGTGACAATAGGGTTCTTAGGAATACACAGTGACATCCAGACAGGGCCCACTTGTATAAAACATCTCGAAGTTATGGAAAATCTCAAGCAATGTATTGTCTATGGGAAATCTTAGACTTGCGGAAATCTTGAGAGTTGAGATGTTTTATACAAGTGGGCCCAGGAGTGATGCCATGTGTACACTCTGCGACATTCAATTGGAGCGTCTAACTGCTTCATTCTTAATACAACCACATCTCCAATGCCAAAATAAAGTGAAAAAATCTGCCCAATTGATGGGGAGTCCCACAGCTTAAATCTTATCATTTGATCTAAGGACATGGCAGAATCAGAAGAAAAAAACACGTTTTCACAGGATCATGAATGATGAATTCAAGTGTTGATAAAAGCTGATCATGGGACATCAGGGATGTACAGCTTTAATTTTCATCTACTTATATATCTGATGTACACCTTTAATTTTCATCTACTTATATATCTGATGTACAGCTTTAATTTTCATCTACTTATATATCTGCAGCTAAGTTTTACAGAATCAACTACATTTGTATTTCTTTATTAGTAACTACTAGAGAAAAAGTACTGGTCCTGTCAAAAAATACACTAGCCCAAGAGTCAGGCTTGTGGTATCGATAGTACCGCCCTGGCCATCCTAAAACCAGCTGTTTGATGACAGTCACTATATTTATCATCACTATCAAGCTCAATCTAAAAGAGCAAGTAGCCTGAATTAAAACAAAAATTACCATTTTTATCAATAATTTCAAAACAAGTATGATATGTATTTTGTTAAAACGATATAGATAGTGATTTTTTTCTGTTCAAACACTTAGACAAGGTCTGTTTTATGTGTCCTTCTCATCTCACCTCGTCTTGTTTGAGGTCGTCACTGTGTTTCAGGTTCTCACTTTGTTTTATGTCATCAGAACCTGGCCAGGACCAAGATACATCCTGGGGCCACCAGTCTGGTCGATACTGGCTTTTACCAAACAGGGGATGCTGTCTTCCTGTCACTAGAGTGACCAGCTGGGGGATAAACTCTGTTAATTGTATCTGAAACAAAGCACCAGGCAATTCAGGTTTTATTTGTCTAGACTAGAAGTGGAAGTAATTATGCAAAACAAAAATAGTAGATAACTAGATCTATGTATGTCATGTCAGCAACCAAACATGTTTTCCCTAGAGCTTTCAATCAGAGAGATATCTAGCATTATTTCAATATATATGTAAACAAGTTTTAACTGTAACAGGCTTGTGGTATCTATAGTACCGCCCTGTGATACAAGTTTTAACTTGTACATGTTACAAGAGTCCCCAAAACTGCCCCGTATTTGCAAATAAAGCATCCAAAAGAGCTTTCAATGCCATAACATTTACTTGCACACTTAGTTTGAGCAAAATCAAGACACATAGAGGGACAATTTGCATCACCTTGGCATACACCAATATTTGTGTAAATCATTCAAAGGCCACAGCAGCCATTTTGATGACTGATCAGGAAAAGGATCATATTACTCCTACTATACATGCCCACAAATGCCCATGTGAAGTTTTGTGGGCATCCAGCTGGTAGTCTTTGAGAAAACACCTGGAAACCATTTGGTGAAAGGAAAAATAGATGAAGATGAAGAAGAGAAGGAAAGAAAATAATAAGATACACTGCAAAAACAGCAGCAGGGGCCTCAATTTTCATAGATCAATTGCAAACTGACATCCCATGATAATAATTCTAACAAAGATTTAATTATTTTCTGCTGATCATGAAGATAAACAAGGTATGTATATGTATACTTGCATTGGAAGTGTTTGTATTACATACATGGTCTGGTTTTTCTTGATTCTCACAGATTATTGGCTAAACTTTGATCTCAGGTTGGATGATATGTAGCACATCGACCCCATGTTTCTATTTTTGTCTTGCATGTGACCATATCGACCTGGTGTTTCTAAATTTAGATCCAGATATTTTGTTCACGGACAATGTGAGTGTATACACATATCCAAACTGGCAATGTTGACTGGTCAATGTGAACATTAAAGTAGACAAAAAGTGATAGATATTTACAAAACAAAAAATGTACCTGTTATCCGATGTTTCATAATTTTGTTTGTTTTGTTTATCTCTTACAAATTCATATTGTGATATGAATCACAATCCCTGTTATGAATCTCATGCATGTTATCTTATGAAATGATATGTAATTTAAAAATTAAGGACTTTTGTCTCGGGCAAAACTTTAACTCATGTTGTTATATTAATTAATATTAATTTATTAAATGTTAATTAAATTCACCATTAAAAAAGAACACTTAATATCTACCCATGAAGATAATTTCAATCTAATATTTCATGGTCTAAAAAAGTACAGCAGTTTAATTAGTATCAGCGATAAGGGCAATTAAAGTCTGATGTGTTCGTTGCTAGGATTATATATATATGATCAGAACAAAGCGAAAGCTGCAGCAATCGTAGAAGTTAGAAAGTAACAAAAACATTTTTTTATTTATTATTCTGATTACAAGTAGAGCTGGTGAAATTGTATCAGTATATTGCCAATGGCATTATCATACTCATGTACATGTATGTATATATATATACCTGTGTCATGGAATCCACAGCCAGGGGAGGTAACTGTGACAACATGACAGGATCTGTAGGCAGAGCAATGTTGTCCACTATCATCCCTGTGGTATAACGTTGTACACATTATCTGATCTCCATCATCCAACCTGTACCTTTTTCCTACAATACATAAAAGTACCATATTCCATTATTCCATCTAAGTCAATCATATATTCTTCATTACCTGCTCTGACCCTGCATTACTCATAGATTCTATATAGATTTACTGTAAATATTCCTGTGTAGAGTGCACTTTTTAAGGGGAAAATGAAAGTGTCAATAAAGGTGTGTGCACTATATATACACAATAACAATCCAAAACCAGTCCATTTATCGTAAATTGTTCGGGTATTTTCAGAATCCCCCCCCCCCCCCCCCACAGTTTTTTTTCCCGCCCAAGAAGTACTTTATACCTGCGCACTATAAATGAGACGCAAATATTTAAGGTATTATATTGCGATCCTAATTTGTTATATTAAGTTTTGTTCTGAAAATGCCAGTTCTTTATGAAATCTGAAATTAAAAAAAATTGCTGTGTTGTAAAATTTACAGCATACATATAAAACTTCTTTAATTTTTTTAGGTGTATCATAAATATGCAAGATCACACACTTGTGCTTTTCTAACGAATCAGAAAGTACGAAGAGTTTATTGCGCAGACGAATATATACGTCCGTGCAATAAATGAGTGCTTTCTGATTCGTTAGAAAAACACATGTGTGTGGTCTTGCTTTTATCACATACCTTCCGTATTTGGTAGAGATTGATACAAAGATTTTACAAACTTTGAAAATTTTTGCAAATACCGGGAACTTTTCAGTTCACCATGACAAGGGGATTCCCATAAAAAGTAGTCCCGGCTAGAAGGTAAATACAACATTCCGTATTACACATGTGCAATACAGAACGTTGTATTTCATGGTCTGAAAATTGCTTGCATTACTATAACAAGATTCAAAAGGTATGTGATAAGTAACTTTAAAATTAATTAAAAATGGTGGACAGCATGTTCTGACAAATTATACATGTCCAGTGAAAAACGTGTTTGGATATACATAAACATGTATATAACCAGCATAAATTAACATCTAAATATAGCCCGACACTTGAATATCTAGTCAAAATAGCCATGGCATTACCCTGTCTAATACCAAAGATCAAATTGTAGGAAGTTAAATTATGCGTTACAATCCAGCAAGTCACATTGATGCAATGATATTGTCCATTAGTACTCGCCGACTGATTGATAAGCAAACTATCACAGTATTATACGACGCTAACAACATTTTTTTTAATTGCATGACGAAATTAGCAAAGCAAATGTGTTTAGTAAGTATTTTTGTTTGATATCTAATATCGATGAAGACCTGGACAGTCCCAGTTTTCCATCCCGTTGTAATTCGTCGTTACATTCCATTGTAATTACTAAATCTGATATTTATGATATTCTAAAAGCAGTCATAATATGTTAAAAAATACTGCCGACACAGTTTGCGAACCCCTGTTTATTTCATTCACTAGATCATTAAGAGAATGCAAATTCCCCTCAGCATGGAAATTAGCTGCAGTTCTACCATTATTTAAGAAAAATGAACGAACTCTTCCATCTAACTATATAGACCGATATCACTGGTAAGTTCTGTAAGCAAACTGTTTGAGAGAGTCATACACAAATAACTTCATAATGATATGTTAGAGAATAATTTACTTTACAAATATCAATCAGGTTTTGTTAAAGGACATTCAACCGTTTACCAATTAGGCCAAAAAACAAAAGGTGTATGTTTAGGGTTCCCAACTGACCCTAGCTTTTTACCCCCGACCCAAAACTTTTAACCTTGCCTTTCAAAATGGCTTCCAGCTCCGTGTTGGCGCTAAATGTCATCTAAGAAGAAAAATTTGCCTCCAAATGAACCTTGTTTATGTAATTCTTTGTTTTTCATACCATAGTAGGGTCATAATCACATGACCAAAAACATACCAAAAAACATCAAAAAAATCCGACCCAACTAGGACCCTAGTTTTTTTCCCAATGCAACCCTAAACAGACTTTTTTTTTTTGGCCTTAATAGAAATTTATCATAATATTTGTTCTGCTCTGGAAAGTAAGCAACAAACATGTCTGACATTTTTGATATATCTAAGCTTTTAAGGCTTTTGACAGGGTGTGGCACAGGGGTTTATTGATTAAATTATAGGCTTATGGTAAGTTGCAGGTTGATTTCAAAGCTAATTTTAAATTATTAAATTTTATATTGTTTTAGTGACTATATGATATGCATCATTGACAGAAGTTTCAATATGAAAATAAAAACTATAGATTGTTTATAGTAATGTTACAGCGCATGTTTATATTATATACAGGTTACTGGGACATGTAAGGGTATATTCAATGCAAATATAATCTATAAGATTTGTATATTGTACATTTTATCTTATTCATGTTCCCTTTGAATCATCTAAATTTACTGTCATCAATATTTTCTACTGTGCAGCAATATGTATATTTCATCATTATTGCTTTAAGGGGGAAGGCAAACTTTTAAGTTTTATAACTTGTGTCTAATAATCCCTTTTGTATTTTTTTGCAAATAAATCATGTGCTTTATTTTCCCAAAATTAAGAAAAATGAAGAAAACATGTATCTTCCAAATTTTAATAAAAACTATTCTATATAAATTTGGTCTGTATAGATATTGAAAGTTCTATAGTGTAATAAAAAGTTAATTAAACTGTCCATGACATAATTAAAAATTACATTTCAGATTATCTTCTAAGAAAAATATTCACTTTCGTATAAAATAACAAATTAAACTGCTTCCATTCAGTACAACCTTTCCATACTGACGATATGTAATAATCATATATATGTAATTACAGTATATAAAACAAGGCTAACCCATAGTTCTACGTTAAGAAAGCTTAACAATGAAGAAGGACAAAAACAGTGGATTGTTGGTTGAGCAGGTTTAATTAATTGCTCTATCGAAACTGGTCAATGGATCCGATCAAGCGAGAAAATAATATTTAATTCATCATACATTGTAAGTATTGATAACAGACCTTAATTACATTTTGAAATCTGTATTTTTCAACAAAAGACATGATAAATGCTTGCATTGATACACAAAACTTTTCATTGATTAATTCCAGATTTTTTTCCAGTTCATATTCAGTAATTCTAACACGATTCGTTTGCAACGCGTGTTTTGATTGGATACGGACCATGTTCTAATCTGCGATAGAATCATGATCAATCGTGTTAAGCTCCTCCCATCGCACTTAAGCCACGCCCTGTTTCTAACCAAAATAATATGGCATCAAGCTCGCCTCATAGCGAAATCCCGCTGATACAGGCTAGTAGGCAACAGAACAGAAACGACCGATGAAATGCATTTGTTGAATGAATTAAAAAGTAAAAAGAACACACTCCTTGTTCTTACCTCCATTTATCACTGAAACGTTCGTTCCATCCGTGTGAAGGCATCTATTTAGATCCGAAATCAAATCAAACATTTCCATGTAGCGTATGCATTTACACAAAACTCTTCACAAATCTATACAAATAATCACCGATTTTGTCAATAAGCACAGATTGGTATGCATACTGACATGGAAATGTAAGAACTTGTTCAATAGTAAAGCGAATGTGTCGTATAAACTTTGGTAACAGGACGTTCACGAACAATCCAAATATTCCGCCTCGTCAACACACAGATCGAGCTCTTGGCAGTATGGGCGGGGCAAAAAGACCGACTTTTGAAAGCTTCTTTCCGATTGGTCAGTCCGCTGCAGAATGACACGTCGCCAGTTCAGCTCACAAAGTACTTTCGTACAAGTAAATACAATGTTTCAAAACATATTAGCGTAGTATATTTGTAAAGGTGTGTTAGAATGGGGATAGTACGTTGTTTTTTGTGTCTATACTGGCGATTAGAACATGAAATTTGGTTTAAACTCTCGACCTATCGGTCACGAGTTCAAACCCAAATTTCTTGTTCTAATCGCCAGTATAGCCACTCAAAACAACGTACTATCCCCTAATTATATGTACATTTGTAATGTAATTGAATCCTTTTTTTCAGTTTTGGAAAATTTTGGAAATAATATCAAGTTAATACTTACCATTCAGAATTTGCTCCAGAAAAGGTCCTAAATTCCACTTTCCAGATTTTATTTTTAAGGGCTAATGGATGTATAAAAATCAAATATGGCAAATTCGAAAGTTTTTAAAATAGGACAAGTGCACTGAATAATATCGGGCACAAAATTAATTTATCTTCCCCTTTGAAGAAAAACCTTTACACCGATTTTCATTTAAGGATAGTTCATGACTTAATTTTGATAAAATTAACTAGAACTGTAAGCCAAATGCTAATTAACACCCCCGCTCCTATATAAACAAGAACTGTAAGCCAAAGGCTAACTATATATATATAGCTAATTGGCAGAGCATTGCAAAGCAATCCATAGTCTCCCACCAGTAATGATATCTTTGTTGACTGAGTTGTACACTTATTTAATATAAAGATCACTGACATACTTCCTGTACTCCCTCCAGTAATGATATCTTTGTTGACTGAGCTGTACACATATTTAAGTATATAGGTCACTGACATACTTCCTGTACTCCCTTCAAATGCCAAAACATACTTGCAAACCAAATCTTGTTAGCCCAGATAAACCAGTTTTGCTGAACTGGTCGTAGTAGTTAAGGAAATGTTGTCAGGACAAAGATTTTTAACAAAGGGCCATAACTCCTCATCTGTAAACTTTCTTTGAAATTGGCCCAGTAGATTAGGAGAAGATGTCAGGACAAGGACTTTTCAAAATTCATATGTGGAAAATCAGAACTCCTATAGAAATAGTGAAAATCCGAAAATAAATAGCAAGTCCACAACTACGATAAACATCCGACCATTTCAAACAGAATTAATGAAATATTGTCAAACCTGTTTGAATTACACGAAATTATAGCAGCTAAATAAAAAGTAATTTGAACAATCCGAGTCGACATCGGCATAAATCACAACAAACAGTCAAGTCGTTGAACCCGGACGATGGCCTATTAGTACTATTACAATATATTTGGATATCTTGCAATGAATAATGGTACATATGACTTTCTTATATTTACTTACATATTAAAGGGGCTATTTAGTCAAGTAACACCCTTAAAATCAATTAGATACTGGAAATATATACCTCCTAACACACTTTACGTAGTTGATAATGACATGACGTCAACGTCCAATGTGGTCAGTTTTTCTTTTGGGAAAGCCGGTGACACATACTACCACGCTGTTGACTGACAGTGAGTCTGACTTTGCACATAACACATGATTGTCGCTTTGAATTTACATGTATAGTAACAACACAAGGAAGAATTATAAGTATCGTAATATATAAATCGAATAAGATATATATTCGTGTTCATAGCCCAAAAAAAGAAACATGTTAAGTGAGAACATACGTGAGCAAGAGGTTACTGTACCGTAGCGAGAATTTCAAACCGCAAAAAGTAGGATATGACGTAAAATAAATTACTCATTTATAATGATGATTGAGATGTTGTTTCGAAGATATTTTTTATGAAGAATAAATGGTGATACTTGTATTCCAAGAAGTTAGCTAAATAAAGTAAGAATTTACCTTTAATTTGTTGGCTAGAAGTTCACAGACAGCTGCCTCTAAAGCGTATGGTTGTACAGTTAAGAACTTCTTCGCTACAGATTAAGAATGCCAAGAAAACATTTTCTCCTGTCAAGTTTGAATACTCGACATGAATTGTTCATAACTACTCAGAATTTTGACAGAATTTTGTTAGTACACAATAACAGCTTTCAAAAATAGCGACAAACTTATAAGGGTGAAACGATACACTGCGGTACAAGAACACTGCAGTATTTCTTTTCGGTCCAGTTCACGAATATTTGAGCGGTCCCACGGTACACGTTCGGTACGGTGCTGCTCCCGCTTGGCTGTAAGAACAACGCTCCCCAATATAACACCGCTTCTGATTAGTTGGTCTCCTCAACATGAGATTGCATTGTTCAATCGCTGTTGTCGGTTCAAAATCAGATCACTATGAATTAAACAAACAACGAAACAAATTCTGAGGCCTCTGTTACGCTCAAGAAAGCTTCGGCATCATTTCAGTCCCCTGTGTCTGAGGATACTTCGGATTTCGCGTAGTTAATGCGTTACCTTGCAAACTTGTTAGTATGTGTTACATGTACTATTTGTTACACTGACATGAGTTACAAAGCAGACAACACAACAAATATGGCTAAAGAGGAAGCATGACATTTTCTCGAGACAAAGGCATCGATATCATCACCAGAGAAAAAGACATCGGTGACATAACAAAAAAGTCCTGGTCAGTCAAATGTGACTTCCTGACGTTTTCAATTTCTTAATAATAGCATTGTATTGAAAGTATTGTATCCTATCGAAACGTACCGAATCGTGGATGCTGTACAGCGATATGAATTGTATCGTGAGGTAGGCGTATCGTTTCAGTCCTACAAATTTGGAGCTTCCTTTTGGCAGCGCTGCGCTAATCTAATCCCACATCCTTTCTAACATTGGCCAATAAAATTCAGATTGTGTCTATATATATACTACTGATTTTAACAAGCAGACAAGTGCTCCCCCACCCAATCTTTGTATGGTATATATTGTAAGGCAACCATAGATGGAAGTGAACTCTAATATTTAAACATGAGAACATATTACATGTATAATAGAGTCCGGTGTAGAGGAACATATTGTTCCTGTACTGGAAAATAACTATAACTAACATGTACACCCTCTCACAAAATATAACTACAGTACAGCAACATATAAAGTAAACAAAGACCTGTTTGTTATGAAAATATCACATTTCAACACAAAATTCTAAATATTGAAGTTATAACTGATTAAAATGTGACATTTGTTATATCATTTGATCTACATTAGGCCTATTATGCTAAGGGAATGAATAAATCCTGTTTGAATTATGTTGCTGATTTTTTTTTCATATATGTTAATTTGCAGTTCAAAATTATTTTTGTATGTCATCATTGGTGTCATGTCGCATTACGCTCTAATTCCTGTTTGTCCCGGGTGATTTTGCACCAAGTTGTTTCGCCCTAAACTATTTTTAGGGCGGATTTGTTTTCATTCTGTTTAATTGTGCATGAATAACTTGAAGTTATCCAAGGTGTCCCTTAGCCTTTTTGTCGTTTGTCTTGTTTGATTGATAGTTGATCGATCAGAGCTGCAAATTATACAAGGTGACATACCTTGTTGTAATTCTTCAGACAACACAGTTGTTTGGAAATATTAAAATATTTCTCTTTAAATCATTAAAAACATTCCAATTGATATTTATAGGTTCAAAAATACATATTCATTTTAGGTCGAAACAACCTTAGGCGAACTAGATTTAGGCCGAAACGACCTGAATCCGACGTCATCCGATTACGCCATTACCACGCCGATATTCGGGCGTAATATAGACTAATACACCTATACAAACACAACAAAACTGGCGTCATGCAATAAACATTGAATTAACACAATGCTACACATAAATGACAAACCTACGCAAAATATGGAGAAAACGAATGTGAAATCCCGTATGAAAGGAAGTGATTGCGTGTAAACACAACAAAAACACGACGCCGAAATCGACGGACCACGCGTCGTACGCCGTCGACCGATTATTTCCGGTTGCATATATACCACCATAAACATGTATATATTGACTTCGCCTTTTCACGAGCGGCTCAAACACATGAATAGTACCGAATTTTGTCTCCAAAATTCGCCCATTGCCCAAGATCGGTATTGACTGCTTGGGTGATGTGTTCGCACAAAGAAATTTGAAAATAGAAATGGCCGCCGTTCGCGCTTCCAAACAAAATCAGATCGGTTGCATAATAAATCTTCAGTTGTCAGTTGTGTGCTTACCTCATAATGGTCCTTGCTGAATATCCACCATAAATGCTACTCCATAGCTCCGAAATGGATCTAGTTTGGCCGTAAACAGTGTTTATTCGATAAGCGAGCAAAGCTTGTTTATTCCAATATGGCCGACGAGTATTTTCCGTGTTGTGGTGCCCAGTGAGTGCGTGTATTTGTGACGTCACGTTTCCTACCGTAAAGTCAAGTGTGTCGTCACACTTATGACTAGTTCGGGTTTGACGATGAAACGTCATTATATTTAGGATAAGATATAATCTATTCATAGTATATTTGTAAATACATTTAATGATATTTAAAAAGAAAGAGAGATCCGAACAAAACGACAAAAGCTCATATGAAATTATATATATTAGATCTTGCAGGGATTTTTTTCAGTGCAAGAATTAATATTTTTTAACATTTTTCAACATTTTTTTTATCCAATATTATACAAAATAGTAACATTGTATATTGTTTATTATAATGTTTCCCTCCTTTGCTTTCGCATTTTTCTTCTTATCAATTGTTTCCTTTATAGATTTCTGTTTTGGCCATTCGATAATTGTTACCCAATTATTATATAGAAAAATGCATGTTTTCTGAACAATAAATTGCATATTTTTAATCCAATTTTTATATGAAAATTGTATACATATTTTTAAATATGTAATTTGCCTTTCGTTTAGCTCATGTCCTCAAAAATTACCATTTTTATTTATTTATTTATTTATTTATTTATTAAATTGTTGCAACTGATCACCATGCATGCGTGATAAATCAATATTTCTTTATACAGTATATAAATGTACCAACATAGATATTTTTTATCACGTTACAGATTAATCTTATTTAGATGTATTAATTCACACTTACCTATCAAAAATAACCATCGATGAGATCAGAGACATATAAAGTATATATGTACGTCTCTGATAAGATCAAATGTTACCGAATTTGAACTTAATAAACTTGTTTTTAAAAGTCATTATTAATGCAGAATGTACCTGTATCCTGGGTAAGCATTACATATATCATATGTGTTAATCAAACCGAAAGTTATCAAACCGTTATTAATTAATTATCACATTACGTCATGACATAATGAAACATATCTTCATTTTCTTTGAACGCTTATTTGTTTGAGTGAGTGAGTGAGTGGTTTCACGTCCGCTTCTACAGCAGACGAATTTTCTGAAGTGTTTTTTTTTTCATTTTTTTTCCACTTTTGGATATAAAGTAAGATTCGTCTCCGTTAGACATTAGACCAAACTCTGTAGCATATTTTACGTGTACTTATTCGTATTCTTACATAACGCCATAACAACTTGAAACGAATCACATCTTCATTTTTTTTATATATTTTTTATACCAGTGGTTATATAGTAAGATTTGTCTCCCTTTGACAGCGGATCAAGGTCTGTACAGCATATTTACATAGTTTGATTGATTCAGTGGTAATTTCTACCTTTTCCCCCAGATACGTATATATTACGTAATATATACGTCTCTGTTTCCCCCCCCCCCCCCCCCAGAAAATTAAGTGGTAACTCATAGCATATTATAAAGTAAAGTAGAACATCGTTCAAGCTTTAAACATCACTGGCTTAATTAGATGACGGGATATGAATTAATTGTGAAGTCCAGGCGATTAATATGGCACTCCTGCAAATTTGGATATTTTCTTATGGATAGATATAGTTCATGATTTGCTGCACTGAATTGAGACCTCTACCTTTTCTCCGCTCTTTTATCAATAAACAATTTTAATTGTATACCTCTGTTTAACGTTTTAATGTAAATAGTCAAGAGAATACTTTCTGTGTTGTCCGATACTGCGCAAAGTTCTCGCGGAACCAAATACATTCATTTATTGAATTCGGTTCCTTACCTGGAAGAAGAAGAAGAAGAAGAAACCAGCCTTTTCGGCGATTATTTAAGCAATTTTTTTTAATATCACATAACTTAATTTTTGGTGGCAATATTAGAAAATTAATTACTTGTATTAAAAAGATATTAATATTAAATTTTAAAACTGAGTGTTGATAAATACCAGAAAATCATCGCCATATATTTATGCAAGTTATCTAATATTATTTTTATTATTATCAAAATTACTGGAGTTTCCCCATTTTGGCCTGCCACAGGGATCAGCACAAAAGAACAGAGTGGTGGTCACGCTACCATACCAGTGTATCGACATTTAATTGAAATGAAACTTCAAGTTACTTCAATATTTCATAATGTTAGGTATCGGACTTGTGTAAGTCTATTGTGATGACCTATATAAAGAAAATTCAATTAAGAAAGAAATCATTTAATTATTTTGATAAGGACAACATAGAATATTAACCAACACAAATGCTTTACGTTATATCGATAGTTTTTAACTACAACAACAATTGCAACAGTGATACTGAGGGAGTACTGTTTGTCAGTGTGTACCTGCAGCTGTGTGTGGAACGGTCCCTTCGCAAGGATATGGCCGCCATATATGTTTGAGTACGCCGCCATGTTTGAGTACGCCTCGATCTACAAATGTTTGTTTTCTAGAAATATGATGCCACTTAGGTGTAGAATTAAAGAAGCATGACCTCACCTATATAAGGCCTTATTTATGAATATTCAATTGAAGTTATTAATACAGATAGTAGTACGTGAAGTCGCATACCTGTTTACAATATGTAGACCTATACTATTTATAGATACGTATCTATATGCGTTAATTCATACGCGAAGTCACTTGAGCCAGACACAATTGTTGGTGTTTTGTTCTTGATGTGATAGGGGATAACCTAGTAAAATTTGTAATTTTCAAATATCGTTGAATTATATATTGGTACTTTGAGCTTCTACATGAATTAATTGACCACATACATTGACATAAACAAATTTACATACTCTCACAACACATATAGTGGATCTACAATTCTCATGCAATCATGGCCATGGTTTCATGATTTTAAGATCAGTGTAAGCAGGGATGTGTCCCTGGTGTAAGACGATAATTACGTAATTACACGATTTAAGAATTGACGTAAGACGATGTCTGTAATACCACGGAATTAGATTATCTAAGTCCGTGGTAATACCAGGGACGTATATGAGTCATTATCAGAAAATGTCAATTTTCTGAATTGAAAAAAATGCAAAAACAACATCAATAAACAATCAGTTTTATATAACCAAACTGAAGTACATATATCAGTATTTCATTATTTCAATACCGGAAATCTGAAATATTACCTGTTTGGTTACCATAGCAACGGAAATTTGGTAATTAAGGTAAAAATGTCCATTATGTTACCAATTTTAAAATTGATTTTTGATAGGTAAAAAACAGGAACTTTTACTTAGATTTTGTTTAATTTAGAACAGCAGTACAATTTCATAAGTAGGACATGGACAATAGTTTCCTCAGTTTTTTCGTTAGGGCAAAAATCAAACTATATCAATGGCTTAGGTAATTGCATAGTGACGGGGTCTGTTCCGAATAGAATTTGTAACGTAAATGCATATGCTTGTTTATGAAACAACAATATATTAGCTTATGGTTATAAATTGATATACCATGGGCAAAAAGAACCAAAAATAGGCAATGCTGCAAAAAGTATTGGGATATTTAGTTCAAATAACATAATGGACATTGCATGTAACATAATGGACGTTGGTAACATAATGGACATTTAATTGAAATCAATGGACAATTATAATGCAAATGAAATGTCCGTTGTGTTACTAGTAAAACAAGAGTAGATAGTACATCAATATGTAAGCCGACAATGAA